AATGTCATAATAAATATTTAATTTTAGTTAATTAATAATAATAATAAATTTTTTTCAAATTTTATTTTCTTTATATAAAATAATTAAGAAAAAGAAAAGAAATCCCGAAAAGATCAAATAAATAATATTCAACATTAGAGATAAAAGAAAATCCTTCATATTTAACAAGCTTCTGCATTAATCATGACGCTGAGCTCGTAAAAATAGTCTAATAGTAAACAGATGTGCACATGGTGACTAATTAACACTCTTTTCTGATTGTTTATAATTTGCAAAAAGCAAACAAAAAAAAAAAAAAAATTACTAAATTTTCAAATATTATATAAAATAGAAAAATTTAATTAATTTAATTTTTGATTAAATTTTTTTTTCGTAAAATTTGGGTAATTTTTTTTTTCTTCTTCTATATTTCAAAAATCTAAATCACCATCGCGTATTTGTTTAATGTTTTCTTTTTTACTCAAAAAATAAATTTAAAAAAAAAAAAAAAAAAAAAAATGCGAGTATGAGTAAATGCAATGTTACATGCACGAGTATCAATGGAGAACTAATTCATGATTCCTCCAATGTTGGACTGCCTCTATTAATAAGGACAAGTGCGTGTGAGTATATCGACAAACGTGGGTAAATAAATATAGACTCTTTTAAACAAAGGAAAATTCTCCAATTTACAAGACTCCATAATACTGTTGCTGTCAAGTATTTCAAATAAACGAATTATTTTTTTTCCGCCTTTTTATATTGCAGGAAATTCAAAATTTTACATGCGTGAAAAATTATTATTATTTAATTTGATTGAAAGAGGAAAATTTAATTAGCCAATTTATTATTATTATTATTATTATTATTATTATTATTATTATTATTATTGTCATTTAATAATTTGTATTTTTTTATTTTTTATTATTATTACTTTAATTAATTAATTAATTTTAAAAAATATAATTATAAAATGTTATAAATTAAAAAATTAGGAGCTTCTAGTACCTATATTTGAAAATCAGAAGCGGAAATAATATTCTTCGCTTTTATAATAATATTATGTTGATTATCTTCCCTCTCAATCAATAAATTTTCATACGATAAATAAATATTCCACTCATAAAATTTACACTTATTTTGCCGTTTACTTATTAAATTTTTTTTTTAAATCTAAATAAATCAAATTTAAAAAGTCAGATTATTAAAATTTGAATTTACTAATTTCGAAAAAATTTTTTTTTTTAATTAAATTACATATTTTAATCACATTTACAGTTAAGTACAAAAAAAAAATAGTCATTTTCAAGTTTCGATTTTTTTTTCATTTTCATAAAAAATTATATTTAAACGACTTTTAAAGAATTAAAGAAAAATTGTTCAACTATACATTTTTAATTCGAAAAAACAAAAGGTTGTCTTATCTTAATTGTGTGCTATAAAAACCGGTTTAAAAAAAAAACTGGATATTTTATAACTTTTTGATTAATTAATCTTTCAATGATGTATTGAGAAAATTCTTTAAATTATTTATCTCTCAAGATGTGCAAATGCAAATATAATTAATATATATATATACGTGTAAAAAGGAATTTTTTAAACAAATTTTTATCTCATTTTCTAATTAACATTTTTTTTAAATATTTAATAAAATTTTAATATTAAAATCATAAAAAAGTGAATATTCAAAAATTCAAGTAATTTAAAATAAAACCGATTTTTTAACAAAAATTTAATTTAATTTAAATAGTTAAAAAAAAAAAAAATTCATTAATTTTTAAGGTTTACTTAAACAAAATTGTCATGACACAAAATTAGAAAAAAAAGAAAAAAAACGATAATAAAAAGTCGATAAAAATAATTCTCGAACATTGAAAATGACTTTCTGAAAAGTTAAATATTTTATAAAAACAATTAATAAGCATTTTTTAAATTATATAGTTTAAAAAGCTCACATCAATAAGACAATTTGCTAAGAATAAAGAAAAACAATATTTCTACCCTTCAAATATATATATGATATATTCCACGCCAAAGTGTAAGTCCATCTGCAATTGCATCTCCGATTTTTTGAGATTTTTTTTCTTTTAGTACTAATTGAGACTAGCTTCCATGAATTTTTTCAAATTTTTTTAGCAAGCCGTTTTCGAGTTAGGGAATTTTTAAAATTGAAAAAAATTAATTTTTGAATGCTCATAATTTCCTTAAAAGTCTTTTTTTCAAAATGTGTGTTTTTAAACGTACTTTTCAACAAAAAAATCGCAATTTTTTTTTAAACGATATTACTATCAAATTTTTGAGTTTTAATGATAAAAAGTCGTTTTTCACATTTGACGTACTGATCGATTTTTTTCAAAATTTTTTCAAAAAAAACTACTTCTTTTTACGAAACTTTTAAGCCTAGCCCGATAATGGGCAAACAATTTTTACAATATTTTCGGAATTTTTCAAAAATTTTTGAAGTTTTGAATTTTTTAAAAATATTTTTGGTTTTTTTTTTATACTACATACTTTTATGTGTCTTGATGCGCTGATTACGAAAATCATAGTGACAATATCCAAAAATTTGATTTTTATGGTGAAAACCATAAAAAAGTCCCAAAATTTATTGTTTTTTTTCGTTTATTGGGTAAAATATGCAAAATTAAGACAAAAAATTTTAGACAAAAGTTATAGATCTTATTAATCTACATTTTTTTAATTTTGCATATTTTACCCAACAAACGAAAAAAAAACAATAAATTTTGGGACTTTTTTATGGTTTTCACCATAAAAATCAAATTTTTGGATATTGTCATTATGATTTTTGTAATCAGCGCATCAAAACACATAAGGGCATATCTCTAGAACCTTTAACTTTAATGTCCCTCGCATATATTTTGGTAATTTTAAAAAATTTCCGTTGGTTTTTGTTGGAAATATTAATGCTTGATACAATCAATCATTTCCAAAAGATTCCACTTTAATTTATTAAATACATAAATAATTATTTCAATTTTAATACGCGATTTTTAACAATGTCTACTTGTCCTTAACCATACTTTCTGATGCTTTAAACGATATAGTTTTAGATGTAATAAAAATTACTAATTCTGAAATATGGTTTTTCAATGTTAATTAATCGGGGAACACATTTTCGCAGGGAAATTAATATTTTATTAATTGTGAAAAAATTTATAAGCTTTTAAAAGTTGTCCCTCACTTTTAACCTTTTCGACCGTAATCATCGTATTTATGATTTTTCTTTTATAAGACAAGCGGCACGTTTAAATAACTTATGGGAAATCAAACATCAAGTTACTATAATTATTTTGAGACATAATAAATTGATGTGCTTCATGTCTTCAAAAAACTATTATAAGTTAAATAAACGAAAACACGCGTGGACAAAATTTGAAAACAACCGTAATACGAGTGATACTTCATGAAAATCATATAAAAGTATTTGAAAAGTACTTGCATATATTTTCACATGTGCCATTTAACATCCCGTGAATGTGCTTCGAGAAAAAATACTTTATTGCAAAGATAATGTAAAAATATTCATCAATTACGGTCGACCGTAATCGACCGAAATTTTTTAGAAAGAAATTGTTATGTACGAAGTTGCCGATTATAATTTTTTTTATAGAAACTATCATTAATTATTAAAACCTGAAGGTTAAGTTTTAATGTTTATTTCGAGACACAAAAATGGATCCAAAAAAATTCATTCTGAAAAAAGATAAGATGCGAGAGAAAAGAAAAATAGAAAAGAAAAATAGAAAAGGAAAAAAGAGAAAAGAAATTGGAAAGTTTACGAATATTAAATTTAAATAGAAAAAAGTCAATGAAAATCGTATGGTAAATTTTAAAAATTACAATTTTACATTTTTAAAACAATTCACTATAATAAAAATCTATTTTAAAATGTAATGTAAATATTCAAATAAAAAATTTATATATCTAGTTAATTTTTGACACATGCTTTTATACCCAGTGCATTATTTCAGTATTTTATTATTCATATAAATATTGAAAATATTAAACGAATTTTATTGCTTTTTAAAATTATAACCCCTTAGAAAATTCCCTTCACCTGTTTTTTATCCTCAAAAGCAAACACCTGTTGAATATTTTTTTGTTACAGGTTAAAAATAATTCTCAATTTTAAATATTTATAACTTTTTGAAGACAACTTGTTTTATCTGTCCACTTGTATAATTGGAAAGCTTAGTTCTTGAAGTTTATGTAGACAGAGTTTCAATACTGTGCTCAAAAAAAAAAAAAAATTTTTTTCTTTTTGAAAAGTTAAAGGTTTCAAAGATATGCCCATAAAAGCATCTAGTATAAAAAAAACCAAAAATATTTTTAAAAAATTCAAAAATTTTTGTAAAATTCTCAAAATATTGTAAAAATTGTTTGTCCATTATCGGGCTAGGCTTAAAAGTTTCGTAAAAAGAAGTAGTTTTTTTTTGAAAAAATTTTGAAAAAAATCGATCAGTACGTCAAATGAGAAAAATGACTTTTTATCATTAAAACTCAAAAATTTGATAGTAATATCGTTTAAAAAAAATTTTTGATTTTTTTGTTGTTGTAAAGTACGTTTAAAAACACACATTTTGAAAAGAAAAAGACTTTTAAAATTGATGCATTTTTAAGGAAGTTATGAGCATTCAAAAATTAAAAGTCATGGAAATTCTCCAATTTTCAAAATTCTATAACTCGAAAACGGCTTGCTAAAAAAATTTGAAAAAATTCATGGAAGCTAGTCTCAAATAGTACTAAAAGAAAAAAAAAATCTCAAAAAAATCGGAGATGCAATTGCAGATGGACTTTCACTTTGGCGTGGAATATATCATATATATATATATATAGAATAAAATCCTCAAATTCCCGTGCAAAAAATTTCTAATTTACAGTCTTATAAGCTGATTACTAAAAAAAAAAAAAAAATAAACCAATTTTACATAAAACTGGAGTATGCATTTTCAAAAATCGATAATTTCCAAAATTTGACTAATTTGAAAATAAAAACTTACCCGAGTGGATCCTAGAAAAATAGAAGCTGATTGATCTACAAGGGTAGGAACTGTATTACCCTCTCCTACGTAGAATATTGGTCGATTTGCGCTCCGAAGACCCTAAATTTTAATTGTAAAATAAAAATTTTATTTCCAAAAATACATCTATTTTTATTATTTCTATTTTTTTTTTTTTTTTTTTTTTTTTTTTTTATAAAGAAATTAAAATTATTCAATAATTGAAATAATTAAAAAAATATTTAAATAGAAATTTTAACTATTTTAGAGAATAAAATTCAATAAAATTATTTTATTTTTTTAAAATAAATTAATGTTTTTTAATATCACAAAATTTAAAGTGAAACAATTTTTATAAATTACCTGATAGCCATGTTCCAGTTCAGTGTAAGACATGTCAAAAAGACTTTCATTGATGAAAGAACTGTTCCACCCTTCAGAAGTAAAATGAAAAAAAATTCTCACCGCCTTTCTTTCGTTTCTTGTAAAATTAAAAATTCCCTACAAGAAAATAGTTAAAATTACATATATCTTCGATGAATAATTATATCATATTGAATATTAAAAATATCCAGTTGAATCGTAATTATTTTTTTGAAAATCTAAATTTAAGATAATCCAAATTTAATACTATCAATTTTTTTTTTTTTTTTTTTTTTTGTAAAAGTAACGACAATAATAAACTGTTGCATATATATGATAGCACTTATTTTAAAAAATTTTGTCAAAAAAAAAAAAAAAAAAAGTATTGTCAACATTTTGTATTAAAAATAAAAATTCAATAACACAAAACAAAATTTTCTGAATATATAAAAATAAAATTTTTCAAATTAACCTTCATTTCATAACGAATTCATTTAAATTAATATAAGAGACGAAATGTCGAAATAAAAAAATAAATATATATATGTGTATAAAAATTTTTAATTTTCCAAGAAAATATTTGACACTAAGAAATATAATTCATTTACAAAATATAAAATGCATAAACTATCTATAAAATTATTTATAATTTTATTATCACATAACAAAAATCGATTCAGGGGTAAAATCGTTTTTCGAATATTTCTACGTCGCAGATTATCGACCCAGTTATATATTTAAATGCGGAATTTTTATTGAGAAAGAGAGAGAATACAAGTGTTACTGTAGTTTGATGAGTATAGTATTATTGAGGACATCAATTAAACCGAATAAATTAGTCTATTTTTCAAAGACAAAAAAAAAAAAAAAAAAGTCGACAGTCAAAAACAATACATATCACAGAAATAAACGAAAATTTTTGAACAGTAAAAACACATTATTTTTACAATATCAGAAGAAATGTCAAACTTACTTTTTTCACCGAAAATTTGTTAACAGCCGCCTTTTTTCAAATTCACAAGTCAAAATAATAATCTTTTTCTCAATTAATGCCAAAATACATGTAGATAAACAGCTTTTGAATTTGTCAATACCACTTTAGCACCGACATTTTGTTGAAATTGAAACAAACATGGAACGATGGTCCAAATTTCGAAATGTGGATTTAAAATTTTGGCGCGAAATTTCAAATACTGTTTTTTTATTGCTTTTTTTTAAAAAAAGAACTCTTAAAATTATTATATATTTTTGTTACTTCTCTCTATTTCATTATATAATTTAATTTTATTGTTAATTTGAAAATTATATTTATTACTTTTGTAATTTGAATATTCCATTGTTAAAAAAAACTCCGACGAATCTTTAAATAAAATATAACAATTTTCACTGTTACAATGCAAATATAAAGAATTTAATTTTTTACATTTTAATTAAAAGTTGAACTTTAGTAAAAATTACAATTTCTTGATATTTTTGGGGAAAAAAAATTTAGGCAACATACATATAACCTAAAATTTAACAATCGTTTCTCTAAATATGAGAAATTTTTAATCTTTATCAAAATGTAATTATAGTTTTTAATAATTTTATATTTTAATTTTACAAAATTATTCAAAAATTTTTATAGTTTTTTTTTTTCTTAAATTATTTCTGAATTTATTCTCACAGTTTTTCAATAATTTTTGTTTTTATAAATTTTTTTATAAATTATAAAAAGAACTAAAAAAAAATCTACATGGGTCTTTGAAAAAAATAAAACGGAATTGTGCAATTACTATAATTTATGATTTAGGTATAGCTAAATTGTTTATCATATTACATCGTAAAAAAGTAACGAATAAACCTAAAATTTGTGTGTAAATTTCAAATTTCATAAGTATATAAATATATACTGAAATTATATACCTAAAAATTTTTTTGTGCTTAAATTCTCTAAGCATAATTACAATTAATCAATATTTTAAAGAAAATTCTTTCAATAATAATAAATCACTTTGAAAATATTTAGAAAAAAAAAATGTGCCCCTAAATAAATGTATGACATAAATTGAAAAAACTACCTACTTAATTTTTTTTTCTAAATTAAATACAGTGAAACACACGTATATTGGATTTCAAGGGACCGGACAAAAAAATCCTATATAAGCGGGAATCCGAATTATGCGGGTCCGATATACGTGGGTTTCACTGTAATTTGTACATAACAAAATTTCTAATCGTATTCTTCTACTTAATTGTATAAAAAAAAAAAAATGTCAAATATATTGTAGTAAACTACAATTTTAAAAAATAATAATAATCTCACGATTCTTAAATTTATGTAAAAATTATTGTTTTCGAAAATTATTGTCTTAAATTATAAACGATTATTTTCGAAAACGGTCGATTTTTTTTTCTCTCACAATACTCGAAATATTTTGATATTATATATAGCAATATATATGGAGAAAATTTTAATCATAATCCTTCTCAAAACGATCATCATGTCCCCAAACTTTACTTGAACTATTTTGTTTTGATGACCAAACTTGTTCGTCAGTTAATTTATCCTTTTTGCCCCTTGGTGATTTTTTCATATTTCTTTGATCCGTCGCACCAGAACCACGAATTGCTCTTGGAAGAATTTGACCACGACCAAGAGCAACATCACCAGGACGTTGCTTTGATCGTTCATTATTTATCACTCGTGTATCTTGATTAACAACGATATTATCAGAGTTTGGTGCTTTCATTAAAATACCAACAGAATCAATTGATTTTGTTTCACTTTTCACGGAAACGCTGTCCAAATCACCGTCTATAAATAGGAAAAAAAAGAGGAGAAGGTACAAAAAAAACTATATTAACCGATTATTTGTTTCTAGTATCAGGATTGCCACAAAATTAATTATGTTAAACAAACATTGTGTAAAGAACAATTCAAATTATTAAATAAAAAAAAAATTCAATTACATATTTTCAAAAAGTTTTAATGAAATTCTCTATTCAAAAATTGAATTATTTTCAAATCTTTCAATCAAATTTTATAAACTGTCAATTACTTACAATTCTTTTTAATCATTATATTGAAAAATTAATCTATTTTCAAATTTAATTTAAAATTATTATTTAAAAACAACTTAATTATTTCATAATTTTGAATAAATTCTTCGATTATTTGAATCATTTTTGAAATTTAGTATTTTGTTATTTATGAAAACAAAAATTAACTAAAACTCTGCAAAATTTGTCATTTTTAAAAATTTCAATAATTTAATTATTTAAGCAATATTAACAAAATTAAAATTATTGCTTTGAACATATTAATTTTAAATTCCACAAAATTTATTTATTTGTAAAAAAGTTAGAAATTATTTGTAAAAAGTTTTTATAAAAATTCTATAAAACTCAAATACTATTAAAAATTTGTAAAAAAAAAAAATCTTCAGCAATTCAAATTTACAAAAAAATCAAATATTAAATCTTTTACAATTCAAATGATTCTAAAAATTGTAATAGAAATTATTCGAAAATTTAGGTATTCATAAATTTTTATCTAAACTTCTTCACCAAAATCAATAATTTTGTAATAATTTTTTTAAAATTTTCAAAAATTCAATTATTGTTTGAAAGTATAAAAAAAATTCAGAAGTATAAAATTTATAAAAAATTTCAATTTAGTAATTTAATGTATGAATTTCAATGATGAAAAATTTTTTAACATCAAATTTAATTTGTTGAATTTTTCTTTTAAATTTTGTATTAATTAATTATTAAATTTATCTAAAACTGAGATTTTTATAGTATTTTAAACTATATAAATATTATGTTACAATTTTTTTTTAATAATTCAAGTTATTGTTTTAAAATTCAAAGTGATTTAAATATTTAATAATTAATAATCAATTAATTATTAATTATTAATTAATAATTTAATAATTATTTTCACGATTTTAAAAAAAATTTCAAAGCTTTTTTTAATTGAGATTTTATCACATAATGTTAAATTAGTATTAAAACGTGGCTTATTTTAAGTGTAAAACAAGAATGTAGAAATAAGGAAAATATATATTCTTTAATTCTATTATTAAAACGATAATCATTTTGTTTAATATCGTTTCAAAGTTATAAAAAAAATGTTTTAAATGAAACACATTTTTTTTTTTAATTTTTGAGAAATTCAACTATTGACAAAATTTTTAACAGTTCTGCTTAGTACAATTTTCAATTTTTATAATTCATAATTTTTTTTAATCAATCAGTCATAAAATTTGTTTTCATAAATTCTTAGTTTTTCATTTTCTCAAAAAAAGTTTTACTTTGAGGACAAATTCATCACAACTTTCAATTTAGAAGAAAATTAAAATGCAAATTTTTAATAAAATTTCAAAGTTTAATGAAGAATTCATGGCGAATTGACGGTTTTTTCAATGCGTAACTAAATTCACGTCATTTTCCCAGTTTTTAAGGTTCGATGACTGGAAAAAAAAATGAAAAAAAATAAATAATGTTAAATAATTTTCAGCACATTTTTTTTTTTTTTTAATTCCCTGACTTTTCCCTGACTTGTGGTAACCCTGAGTAGAATTGAATTAAAAGTTTCTGTCGAAATTACTACCTTCAATTTGATTCTTTGTCTTTGTATTCACAGTGAGAAGATCGGTGTGTCGTTGAATACTTATAAATGTTTGAGTTCCAAGATGATTAACGTAAAAATTTTGTAATTCACCCGAAAGTGGATTATATCTGTGATTGGCGAGATCAATTAAAAATAAAAGCATACAACGTGATCGTGGATTCACATTACCACTAATAATAACACTTTTCACAGACTCAATAAAAGTCTCCAGTTGCTTTTGATTTTCCTCATAAATTTTGCGACCGTTTATCGAAATCTAAAAAACAAAAAAAAAGAAAAGTTAAATTAAAATAAAAATCATAAAATTTAATACCTTGTTACCTGTGTTGTAACAAGTTCAATGTCAATTTCTTCACAATTAACAAGCAAAATTCTCATATAATGAAGTAATGGTTCTTCAAGAATTCTCACTGGTAGAGATGCGATTCTCAATCGATTGTATACCTCACCCAATAGCGATGCTGCATTTCTAAATCGAAATATACTCTGTTTTATCATTTCTTCATGACCTGTAATAAAAAAAAGTTTACTAAAATTTCCAATAAAAAAATTAAAACAATTTTTTATATTTTGTTACTTAAATAAAAATTTAGAAAAATTAAATTATTCTTATCACATACTCATATATGTATTTTGTAGTGCTCTCATTAAAACCATTTGCAATTTAGTCCCATCATTTATTTCCAATGAGTAAATTGTTTTATTGCTAAAAACAATTGCAAATTTAATTCCAAATTGTCGATCGTCCAAAGCACGTTCATGAAGTTCATCAAACACATCTCTGAAATAAAAATTAAAAAAAAAAAAAAATTATTTAGTTAATAAAAAAATTGAACAAATTTATTAAAAATTATTTGATATTAATTTAAAATAAATAAGGGTCAATCCATTGACTTTCATCTAAAAGTAGTTGCGACTAAATTTTTAAAAAATCAAGTTTTAATATAATATGTGAACCTCGATGATTCCCGGAGTTCATGAACCATAATATTATGGTAAAAATTTTATTCCCTTTAAAAATATTAATTAACAAAAGTCGGAAGTTCAAAATGTGATTTTAAAACCTTAAAATTTTTCAAATTTTTTTAAAAACGCTATTATTAAAAAAAATATTAAAAATTACATATTCGAATTTTACTTTAAATATCTAATGTTATTTGTATATTATTTAATTTATTTTTACATTCCTTAATAAGAATAATTCTACAAAAATATTATCAAGAAATTTTATTTCGAATAAAAAAACTATTTGAAAACCGAACTAAGACAAATTTTCAAAAATTTTTAATAAATAGAACAAATTTATAAACAAAAAAATTTTTAAAGTTCCATTTAAAATTTTTTTTCAAAGTCTCATTTATGCAAATAATTCAAATAAAAAATTTTTGCATAGTTTTTAGTTTTAATAGTGAAAAAAAAAATTTTTCAGAAAATAATTAAGTTGAAGTTTTTTTTAAATAATTGAATTTTTAAAGAATTATTAAAATTATTAAAAATAATAATTGAATTTTGTAATAGTAACAGTTGAAATTTTTAGAAATAATTGGATTTCAAAAGCTTTTGTAAAATTTTTACAGAATTGAAAATAGTTTAAGATAATTGAATTTGTAAAGAATTTCATTTAAATTATTTTAAATAATTAATTTAGAGAATAATTTTGGTTAAAAATTTGGTAAATAATTGAAATAAAAAAGATCTGAACAAGATCTGTACTTGTATAACAAAAAAGACGTATTTTGTTTAAAAATTTTGTAAAAGAAAGTCGAAAAAGTCGCATCTTAGTAAAGGGTAAGTCCACGTCAGAAATATCAGAATCTGCAAGTGGTTCTTCGATTTTAATGATACTTGGTAAAATTAGAGCTTTATATAAGAGCAATGTGTAAGTAAAAGGAATTTCTAAAATATCCAAAATTGTAGGAGTTATATCACTTTTAATTTTGATACTGCATTTTTTTCTTTCCTTTATATCTCGGTCAATTTTCAACCGATTTTGATGAATCAAAAACGATTTTTTTCAGAAAATTACGTATTTTCAGAAAATTTTAAAATAAAAATAAAATTTTCTTATTTAAATAGAAAAAAGTAAAAAACAAAATTTCTTTTAGATTTTTTTCAATTTCGACCTCTTTTTTTTAATTTTTAATTTTTTAATAATATTCCTTTTTATTTTATCTTTAATTTAAAAAAAAAATTCATCCTGGAGACTTTTTTAGATCTCGTGATATCGTTCTTTAAATATCCGCATCTCAAGAAAACTAGGATCCAGATTTGTGTTTCTACTTTTATTTGTTTTATAATATTATTGTTACAAACTAGAAACATTCGCGTAATAATGTTTTTATTTTTAAATTACTTGACTAAAACAAGTGAAAATTCAAGCAAATCAATATTTTATTAATAGATTTGAAGCAAAGTTTTTATTTTTTGTAATATTTATAATTTAAAATAAATTGTAATGAAACCTTAACAATGCAATCTGAAATTGTAGCTGAAGTTTTTAGCGCTTTCTTTTAGAGGATTCTAAAACAAATAGTTATTCATAACCATAAAAAATTTCAACAAACAAATGAAAGTAATGATAAAAGCAAGTTCTGCGGTTTTCAAATTGATGAAGAATTATAATACTTAAAGGACGACATCACGAGATCTAAAAAAGTCTCCAGGATGAATTTTTTTTTTAAATTAAAGATAAAATAAAAAGGAATATTATTAAAAAATTAAAAATTAAAAAAAAGGTCGAAATTGAAAAAAAATCTACAAGAAATTTTGTTTTTTACTTTTATCTATTTAAATAACAAAATTTTATTTTTATTTTAAAATTTTCTGAAAATACGTAATTTTCTGAAAAAAATCGTTTTTGATTCATCAAAATCGGTTGAAAATTGACCGAGATATAAAGGAAAGAAAAAAATGCAGTATCAAAATTAAAAGTGATATAACTCCTACAATTTTAGATATTTTAAAAATTCCTTTTACTTACACATTGCTCTTATATAAAGCTATAATTTTACCAAGTATCATTAAAATCGAAGAACCACTTGCAGATTCTGATATTTCTGACGTGGACTTACCCTAAAATAAGTCTGAAAAAGTCGTATAATCCGAGGCCTGTTTTTATTATAATATTATGGAGCAATTCCATAAGATGTGATCACAAGAATTTTTGATAATTGGAGCAATTTTATTGAAACCTTGTGAATATGCTCCTTTATTTGTACAGAATGAAAGTCCACAAACAATTTTTCAAAATTTTTAAAATTTTTTGAAATATCTCTAATTAAAATTAATTATGAAAATTTTGAAGAATTGTTTTTGGGCTTTCATTCTGTACAAATAAAGGAACATATTCACAAGGTTTCAATAAAATTACTCCAATTATCAAAAATATTCTTGTAATCACATCCCATGGAATTGCTCTATGGTTAATGAACTCAGGGAATCATCGAGTTTCACATTATATTAAAACTAGATTTTTTAAAAATTTTCTCCCAACCACTTTTAGACGAAAGTCAGTTGACTGACCCATATAATAAACAATTTAAAGAAATTATTAAATTACTTTAATTTTTTATTCTTCGCAGCGTCGATTAAAACTTTTTCCATTTCATGAACTTCAATGTCCGTTGTATATTCATTGATTTGTAAATGTTCAATTAATTTAATAATCTCGTTAGATTCATCATTTTTCAATGGTTTTGTTGAAATTTGTTCACTACTTTGACCTGGTCGATTAAGATGCACATTGGCATTTCGAATATATGCTCTTCCTCTACCTCGACCTCCCATTTCATAACTTAAAAAAAAAACAAATAAATTATAATTATTAAAAATAATATCAAATAAAATCTCAAATCTACATTAAAAATAATAAAAAATTTTAAAAATACTTTTTACGGATTACAATTTAAAACTTTTCTCTTATAAACCCGATAAAATAAAGTAATTTTATAACGGTATATTTTAATTTCTATATTCAATTACAATTATTTGACATAATGATTAAGATTTAAATTTGTTCTATTAAATTATTATCTCGAAAAAAGAGAATTGTTTTTTTTATAATTCCTGTTTTATTAATTATGTTTCTTTTTTTTTATAATATAAAGTTAAATTCATTTTAAATCATTTAAAATAAGCAGAAAATGTAAACTTTGCAAAATGTACACATAACCTAAAAATGAAGAAATAAATATAAATACACAATGAATTATTTTGATTAGCAATATACATACACGAATTTTATAATATTAAGAAGAATAATAATAATAAATTAAGTTTAATAATAAACTTATTTTCAAATTTTTTTTTAAATTCAATAGATAAAATTCACTTTTTTCAAAGCAAAACTTCAAGTGAAATTTATGCCCCAACAGCTGAATTTTTTTTACTGGATGATTCGAGAGCCGCATTGAATTAATTTTGAAACTAAAATATAATATGGCGATTCCCGGGAAAATTAAAAAAAATAAATAAATTTTTGGTTTAAATAATTTTGTTTTCTTACTGAGGAAGCTTTGTAGTGATAATTTTCGATATTCCAAAAATAAAGTCTATCGACAATTTTCTAAATTTCAGATTTTTTTTTTACCTTCTTTCAAAAAATTCAAAAAATTTATTATTTTTTTTACAACAAATATTTATTTAAGCTGTAATATTTTAATAATAAAACTATTTAACATTTTTTTGATTAACTAGTTAATTAAATTTTAATTTAATTTAGTACATCATATATATACATAAAAAAAATGAGAGTATATTTTTACAAATTTAAATTTCCCGCTGGTCACTGTTTGAATTTTATAAATAGTGAAGCAAAAATGCAGTTTAATAATTTTTGTTTGTCGTTTATAGTAACAAATAGTTACACATGCAAATTATCTTGAATAATATCCATAAAATTTTTATTTGCCTGATGCAAATTTTCACGGTTTTTTTTTTTTTTTTACTTTCTATCACGCATGCGTTTGTCACCCTCCAGTAACGTACCAATAGCCGGCTTCACGTGTCAAGATTTTTTAAAAGTTAATATTTAATTTTTTTTTACATTAAAAGAATAATTATTAACTATAAACAATTACGAAACGAATAATTGTCATTAATGTAAAAAGTAATAAAAATAATTTTATAAATTTTAATCCTTATTTTTGTATAGATGTCATAATCTGTTGTTTGGTTATATATATATATATATATATATATATATATATGTATATATAAAAAAAATTATTCTACATTTCGTTGTTAAACAAAAATACAGTAAAAAAACGATATTAAATTGGTATTTTTTTAATTATTATTTTTTGAGGACATTTTGTAATGTCATTTTATATTTTAATTTTTTATTTAAGTATAGATAAGTAATGAGAAAAAAAAGAGGGGGGCGTAATATTATTTCGTTCCTGGAGTTTGTGTATGCTGTGGATGCAGACCAATCATGTTCCATTGGTAATTTGTCAGTCTGATGAGTTATTTCATTTAGTCAAGCTGGCATATTGTTTTTATAATTCTGTGAAATATTTATTTATTTTTTTTTATAATTATCAGTGCTTCCCTTACATTGTTTGACATTCTATTCTCAGTTTTTAAAGAAAGTGTAATTTTCAAATTTCACGACAATGTCAGTCGAAGAAAAATTCAACGCTGCTGTAAATGTCATAAAGAGTCTGCCAAAAAATGGTAAGTGAATGATTGTTTTTTGTTAATTATTATTCTCTATTAATACACAAAACACTTTTTTTTTTTTTAATTTAAAATTTAAAACATCATTATTTGTAGAGATTAGAAGAATGAAAGTAATTTTTTTGTTAAATTGCTTATTGTTAAAGTAAATTAAATTTTTCTCTATATTCTTCTAATTGATCCCTTTCTCCTATAATATATTTTTATTTTGCGAGAGTTTCCAAGGTAAACGTCGTTTGTTTTCGTGTGAAAATTTCTATTGCACTTGAGGCTATATAATTTTTTTTATTTACTTTTTATTTAGGTTACACGTTTATTAATTCACTTTGTACTTTCACTATATGTATAGATACAACAAAACTCAATGTCATGGATATTTTTTATAATTTTTGCAAATTTATTTGTCAAGGTTTTCATTCACACTTTAATTATTTTTTATTGTATATTTATTATTTCATCTTCCTATTTAGCAGTTTATTAGAATTTTTAGTAGTATTGTTAGTCATGTTGTTTTTTAGATGGCAATTTTTTCAATTTTCTAAATTCATACTATATGTAAATATTTCCTTTTAATTATAGTAATGATAATAATAATAATTTTTTAATTGAAAACTGTTAATTGGAGAAATAAATATTGTTTGTTTTTTTTCCTCTTTTTTAAATAACAAATGTTTTTTTTTTCGTTTGTCTTATGTGCGACACAAATTTCTCATTTTGAATTTTTATCATAACTTGTATTCCTCGCAATTTAAAATTGTCTAATGACTTCTAAATTGCAGTCGACTTTTTTTTTTAGTTATAATTCTAAGGTTGGAAACTTCGCATGTGTTACACGATCTCAGAGAGTTATACTGTGTGATCTTAAAGTAATTAAGTGAAAGTCGAATGCAGTCGATTGAAAACAAAGTAGATTTTATATTTTTAACACTTTATAAATTTAAATAGAAGAATTTTATTACAATATTGAAAAATTCATAAATTATAAATCTACTTTTGGCAAATAAGAAAAAAAAATAATTATAACAATGAAAAAATATCTTCAGAATTATAATAAAAATAAAATTTTAATTAAAAATGTAAAAATAATATCTATATAATAATAAAAATATAAGAAAAAAAATTTATTCCGAAAATTGTTATAATTTTTTGAAAATCTCTTTCTCTTGGCTTATTAAATTGTCCAATTATAAAAAATTACAATGCACTTTGTTTGGCTGTTACTGTGATATGATAAATTAGAAACTTCTCTATCCAATCTTATCTGAACATAATTTTATCGAAAAGATATTGAAATCAAACAAAAACATATTTTTTAGTAAAAAAAAAAAATAAATAAATAAATAATTCGAATATAATTTATATTTTTATATTTATAAAAAAAATATCATTTATATATAAATATTGAAAATCGATATTAAAAAACAAAAACAAATTCTATAGTTAAATGATAGAACAAATAATTTTTTCCATATAAAAAATTTGTAATTCAAATAAAAAAAAATTTCATTAAATCTTAATTTAATTTTTATTTAATAATGATTGATAAGTAAAAAATTTGTTTTATTTTAATTATCTTTATACATTAAAAAATTTGTTTGTCTATTTTTTTCTATTCTATCAATATAGATTTAATAATTATCATAATATATCATAAATTATCAAAACTCAATTTGTAATTAGATATAATTTTTTGTGAGTTAAAAAAAACAAATTATATAAAAAAAGTACAATAAGTTAAAAGAATATTGAATGATGTATATATTGATTCTTTGTGACTAAAGGTCGAATGATAAACTAATTTACACTGGTGTATAGCTTTAATAAAATAATTCATTCCGTATTTATAATCTGTCACAGGCACTGATTTCACAAGTCATTCCTTGTCTATGTAAATATAGTATTAAAAGAATTCTTTTTTTTTTTGCAAAAAGAAAAATTATTTAAAAAAAAAACTCGATACTCTTGATTATTAAAAAAAAAAAATAATAATAATAATAATTTTTATGCAAAAATACAGAAAATGTCATTTTGATCTCCATTTACAATTATGACGCCATTTCATTCCTTGATAATTATTTATTGCTTTCAGTAGTTCATTTAATATTATAATAATAAAACATGGAGAACGGAAAATGAATTTAAATAAAAAAAGAAAATAAATATTTTTATTAATTTTCTTAAACTTTTTTTATAAGAAACAATATTTATAACATTTTTTTTTTCTTTATAAAAATTTTTTATTAATTTTCACATATCTAATATTTTTATAATTTCTACTTGAGCAATATTTATCCTAATTATTTTATTAATATTTTTTTTTTATTATTAATATAATTTGCATTTAAAATTGTATTATATTGTAATAAAAATATTATTGTTAATTTTTCTTGTTTTTAACACATCATTATCATGAAATGAATTTACTTATAGGGTCTTATCAACCAAGCCACGAATTGATGCTACGATTTTATAGTTATTATAAACAAGCAACAGAAGGACCTTGTTCAAATCCAAAACCAGCTTTTTGGGAAGTTGTAAAAAAGGCAAAGTGGGATGCTTGGACGCGTTTGGGTAACATGAGTCGCACAGAAGCTATGAATAATTATGTCGACGAATTAAAAAAAGTAAATAAATTTCCTTGACATTTTGCAAAAATAAAAAAAAAAAATTATTTTTTAAGTAATTAACGAAAAAACAATTTTTTTTTTCCTCTACTTCAAAATTTTATAAAAGTAATAGGAATTTTCAGATTTTAAAATTTCATTAATTATTTTTTTTTCGAAATATTTAATTTTAATAATAAATTTGTCAATTTTTTTGTTTTTTTTTTTTTGTAGAAAAAATGTAAACTTAAAATTAAACATTTAGAAAAAAATTAATCATTAATTTTATTAATTAATATTAAAATAATGTATAATTAAATTTTTGTAATAATTATAAATTTTTAAAAAACAATATTTTTTATAGCGAATAAAAGATTTAATAAATATTTTTTTTTTTTCAAAGATTGTTGAAACAATGTCCTATACGGACAATGTGGCAACTTTTCTTGGAAGTTTGGATTCATTTTACGAGAGTGTTCCTGCTGAAGACTTAGAGTTGTTAGTTGGTCCGGTTTTGGAACGAATCCGCTCTCAGCCTGGTTCACCTTTATCTGGCTCTCCACTAGGTAAATATATATATATATATATGTATAAAAAAAATATTTAATGAGAACTCATAACTTATTGAGAGAAATAGAAAACGAGTTTTTATTTAAATGTTACTTATAATTGTTAATGATTTTCTTTTTTTTTTTCTTAAAGAAATACTTTTTAATTATTCTCGAACTTTAACCTTTTTATAAAGTTTTTTTTTTTTTTATTTGAGATTTACGAAAGTAAATTAAATTTCGTTTGTATGATTTTGTGTAAACTTGTAAAATAAAATTTTATTTATCACAGAAAAATAATTTTAAAAAATTAAAATTGTAATTATATACTACTTAAATTTTGTAGAAATAATTTTTTAAATTTATTCCAATTTCTATTTAATCTTGAAGCACGTCAATATAATTTGCAAAATATTCTTTCTTTCTATATTACCAAAATTCGTTTTCATCTTGAGTTATTCTTAAATACATATTTATCATCATATGGAAATATGTAGTAGTCAAATTTGTTTTTATATTGAATGACAGATTGTTAATCATTATTATAATGATTCAGAGAAAAAATAAGTTATTACACAATCTTCCATTAAAAAGAAAAAGAATAAAAATAAAACGAGAAAAACATTCACGTCACGAACGTGACGTATTTGTTATTTGGTAATGTATATAATTTGGTAAATTTTTTTTTTTTTTTTTTTTCATAAAATTAAAGTTGAAAATAATGAGATTTTATGTGAATTAATATTTAAGAGAAAATTAAACAATTTCAAAGATATATATATATACGGAATCTTAAAAATAGATTGAAATAATATATTGTAAATATAGAAGAAAATTTTTTGAAATTAAAAAAAAAATTAAAAATCAAGTTTTCAAGTTTGTTTTCTTTTTATTAGGATCGCGAGAAACTTCGCCTAATAGAGTACGCAACACATCAAGACACATAACAAGCAGCTTGGAAACGAGTCCTGCAAGTAGTCATAGTGCAAGTCCTTTACCTCCTGACACTGATGGCGAGGAAGAAGAATTCAAAGACACGCTCGAAGTACGTTTATTTATTTTTTTTTTATTATACTTAATTTATACGAGAAATATCTTTTTTCCCCTAATAAATAATAATTACGAATGAGGCAAGAAATATTTATGATTTTGAAATTTTCCATATATAAAACGCATTAATTAAAAATAGTTTAAAAAACTTTTAATTATTAGTAAACATAAATAATAATATTAATAATAATAACAATAAATTCAGGCCTCGGATTATATGAGTTTTTCTGGCTTTTTTTTCGACTTATTTAAATAAGTTGCGACATTTTTTGATTTTTTTACAAATTTTTTTTGAACAAAATTCACAAATTTTTATTATTATAAATTATTTTTCAACTAAAAATTTTATGAAATTCAACAATTGTTTATTGTAATTTTAAAAAAATCAAAAACAAAAAAAATTACCAAAATTTTCAATTTAAAACCTTTTAAAATTTAATTATTATTAAAATTTTCCATTTAAAACTTTTTGAAATATAATAACTTCAATTATAATTCTATTGAAATTCAATTACTTTTTAATGATTAACAATATTTTTCGAAAATTCAATTATCTGAATGCATTTTTAAATTAAAAAATTATAAATTTGAATTTTTGTCTTTTATTTTTTAATAAATTCTTCAGCAACGAAATCACCAAAAAAAATTCAATTCTAAATCATTTGAATTCAATTAATTTTAAAAATTTCAATTGTATAATCTTTGAAAATTCAATTACTTTTAAAAAAATTGTTATCTAAAAATTATTTGATAAATTATTTTCAATTCTGTAAAATTTAATTATTTTCTGAAATTTAACAAAATCTTTTGAAATTTAATTATTTCTAAAAATTTCAACTATATCACTTTCCAAAGTTCAATTATTTTTAATAATTTTAATATTTCTTTAAAAAATTCAATTATTTAAAAAAATTTCAAATTAAAATTCTAAAATTAAATTGTTGTCAGAATTTTTTTTTTTTTTTAGAAATTTGTTCTACTTAATAAAAATTTTAAAAAACGTCTTCAATTCTGAAATATTCGACATAAATTTTCTTGATAATATTCCTATAGAATTATTCTTATTAACCCCTTCGCAGTCGAGTAGAAAAATCGTTTGTGAGCCCAAAACGGTAAAAAAAAAAAAGTTTCCAAAAAAATTTTATATCATATTAAAATTTTTTAGGATCGCTGAAACCGAATTTGAGGTCAGATTTTAAACATTTTAAATGGCGGACCCAATATGGCCACTCAATATAGTGAAAAAAAATTTTAAATTGATTCAATTCGTTCAAAATTCGGTACTTGGTGGTTTTTTGGGTCGCTGAATCCAAATCTGACCTCAAATTTAGATTCAGCAACCCAAAAAACCCCCGAGTACTGAATTTTGAACGAATCGAATGAATTTAAAAAATTTTCCGCCATATTGGGTCCGCCATTTTGAATTTTTAAATCTGACCTCAAATTTGGATTTAGCGACCCCAACAAGGAGTTAAGGGGTTAAAGAATTAATAAAATAGATTCAATATCTAATAACATTAATTATTTAAAGTAAAATACTTATTAAGTAATTAAATTTAATTAAAATAAAAAAATCGCTTTTTTTTTTTTTTTTTTTTTTTTTTTTTTTTTTTTTTTTTTTTTTTTAATGTAAAACAACTTTTTTTGCGCCTTAAAGACGATCCAAGACCTGTAAATTATAATGATACTTAAGAACAATATTCATTCTAATTGGTAATACATAAAAAATACCAACAAAAAATTTAATTTATTGCCTGAAATTTGTATATTATAAAAAAAATTCAGGAGTAGTAAAAAATAATAATTTAGTATAATAAAAATGAATAATATATTAATAATTAATTTGATGATGATATTTTTCAGTCTGCGCCAGAGCGATCGCAAAAAGATTTAATGAAGTCTTCCAACGGTGTACAGCCACGTATAATTAATAATTCATCACACTGTAAACATAATAAATCGACTGTTGTGACAAAAGAAAATCCAACGGAATTATTTAATGGATATTCTCACACGAATGGCCATATTGAGTATTCCGATTCAAAACAAGAAATTAGGGGCCGACCTCGCGTTAGAAGAGACGATAAAACTGACGCTGAATTTTTCAATCATATTGCTTTTACAATGCAAAATTTACAGAAAGATTTGGACAGGATAACGGCAAGAGTTCGTAATTTAGAGGGTCAGGCATTGTCAGTTTTGGCACCACAGTCCGTAAGTGTTTCTTTTCAACAATTATAACTGGAAATTATTAATTTTTTTTTTTTTTTTATCATTTAAAATAAAGTTTTTCAATGTTTATTACTAAATTAAATTTTAGTCCAGGGTTGCTACTCTTTTTGGAAAACTGTAAAAGTCAGGAAATTTTATTTGATATAAAAAACTCGGGGAAAAAAGTATAAAACACCTGGAGAAAAAAAAAATATATAATCATAAAATTAATTATAAACTTTGACAAAACTGTGTAAAATTTAGTTTTTTAAATATTATATATCTCAACTATTAAGTATTTCTAAAAAATAATTAATAAAAATAAAAGAAATATAATTAAGAAATTTTTTAAAATAAGATTAAAAAATCGAATGAATAATTAATTTAATGTTATTAACGAAAGAATATTAATTTTGGGATATTTTATCTTTCAAATAATTGTATTTAAAAAAAAAAGTGATTTGCAATGAATGAACATTGATATTGTAAAATAATTAGCATTATTGAATATTCATTATTATTATATAATAAATTATTCAATTTTAAATAATTCAATGCACTTCATAATTTGTTAAATTTAAATTTTACATTTTGTATTCACTTTATCTTGAAAAATCAATTTGTCATCTATTTCGTAAAATTGTCTTTAAAAAAAATTTTTTTTTAACATTTCCTATATATTGCGATTGCTATTATATTATTTAAATTTCAATTGCAAGGAATTTTTTTCATATTCAAATGTAATTAAAATATTTTTTTTTTTTAAGCTCTCAAATTGAAAATCAATTTATTTTCAGTTTTAACAAATTTTAATTTAAATCCTATAGTTTTATATATTTTAAATTTTTTGATTAAAAATAATTTTTATTTTTACATTCTTAAAAATTTTTTATTTATTTATAATTATTATCAAAAGTTTTTGACATTTAAGTGTCTTTTAATCAATTTCTAAGTTTAAATTCTTTAATATTTCAATTTGCATATTTCATTTGCATCTCAGTTCGTTCGATATTGTCTTTTTTAATTTAAATTATTTGCCAATTTGTCACATATTTCAATTTTAAATTACATAATTTTCGTAATTTTTAAATGATTTTTATTCATCATATTTTGATTTATTTTTTAATTTCTTTATTATTTGTGTTAATATTTTTAAAACTTTTTTCTATTTTAGAAAAAATGTGCAATTTTCTATGAATTTGTTGAAAAAAAAAAATTTTTTTTTCAATTTTTGAAAAATTGTTTAGATGATGATAAAAAGACTATATAGTTGTTTAGTTTGAGTTTCGTGATATTAAAGTAATTTTCAAATTTTCAGGACCAACGAAGAAGTCGAGTCTATCCTAAATGGTGGCCATTATCCGAGTGTTCGCCACGAATCTTTGCATTATTGATTGTTTGGCCTTTTCTAGCACAAGCACTAGTTTTTTATGCACAGCGTTATCGTCAAAGAAAATTGTGATTTTTTTTTTCGTTATTAAAAGCCGAAAAAATCTTTACGAAAACACGAAAGATAATTTCGAAAAAAAAGAAAGAAAATTCCGAGTCTTCAAGTCCATTTCTATATATTATATATATATATATATATATAAATAATACGATTATAATTAATTATTATTGGCTGTTGATTCAAGTGTAATCTTAAGGGTATATTGTATATAGTTTAAAAGTTCTTATCAATTTACATGTAGATCGATTCTAAAAAAAAAGAGGCCAAGGAGAATAGCTACATTCCACATTATTATATGTTTTATTCTAAAAGATTTGCAATAAGTGACAAATTATTGCAAAAAAAAAAAAAAATATTACCGGAAAAGTGATTTTTTAAAAATATTTTTACTGATTTCTATAGGTACATTTTATTTGCCAGAAAAAATAATTGTAATAATTTTAAATTTTAGTTTTAATTTATTTTAATTTAAAAAATTTATGTTTCAAAATTAAATCGATTGTGAAATTTTATTTTTTATGAAAAAAAAAATATTTAAAAAAAAATATTATTTTATAAAAAATATACCTATCTTTTATTATTATTATTATTATTTATTTTTATTGGAAAATTTTTTTTTGTTTCTTTCCGGTAAGATTTGATTTTTATAAATAAAACTTTTTTTTTTTTTTTTAAGGGAATAATTCTCAATTAGATAGGAAACAAATACTTTTTAATTAAAGTCACATTATTTCGTCTGTATATTATTTGTCTTCAATATTACGAGATTCGTAATTGAGAAAATTATCATTTTTAACTAGAGAATATTATGAAAATGATTTATATGTATAAAATTGAATATTATGTGTCATACAATGATTTATATTAGAAAAAAAAGAAAATTGTAATATATTTAGTTTTAATCGGGCAAATCCAAAGTTTTGTAAATTTTTAGCATGTTATTGGTTTATTAATTTTATAAATAAGAAATCCCTTGTTAATATTTGGTATTAATTTTGTTTTTATATTTTAAAGACAAAATGTGTTGTAAAAATTTTTAATTCGTTTTCAATTTTTTTTTCTGAAATGAAATTTTGATGTTTGTTATGTAAAAATAAAATTGTTTTTTTTATAAGGATGTGCAAAATTTTTGCTATTTGATAATGAAACAAAAAAAAAAAAATTTTTAGAATTTTAAAATTGGTTTTTTGTAACAAAAAAAAAACATCTATTTGGAGTTAAAAGACTTTTCTTGTAAAAATATCTGTCGTTGTTTAATTAAATTTCTCTTTTTTTTCATTGTCAGCGCGATGAATCATTTTATAAAGAGAATATCTTGTCAAATTTCGCACGATATTTGAGTTTTTATTATTTTACAAATCTCGTGAGATTTGCAATTTTCTGCTGATTGGTCACACTTTTTTTTCGAATTAAGAGAAATTTCATTTATTGCGATGCAATGAAGAAAGAGAGAATCTGATTCTGTGAAAGAGAAAGTAAATGAAAGTTAGAATATCTTATTTAAAAATTAAATTTAAAAGGAAAGGAAATTTTTCATTATAAACCAATTATTTTGTTTATATATAGTTTATAAATTATAATTATTCTTAGAGCTTTTTATTTGTACTAACTTTCGTATACTTTGAAAATTTTATATTTCAAAAATTATGTATATTAATTCGCTTTAGAAATTTTAATAAAAGTAATTGATCTATTTTTGTTGTTGTTAACTTTATATAGAACGATTCTTTTATTTTTTTAAAAAGTTTTTTTGTCGAATTTACAATTTTTTTTTCCTTTTGAAAATTATTTACTTTTAAAAATATGAAAAATATATTTTATATTTTCATTTTTTTTTATATTATAAATTAATATTTCGTAAATTTTTAATTATTGTTAAATAATATATTTCATTTAAAATAATCTTACATAAGAATTTTATTTAAAAATATCAAAAATACTCGTAGTTTAGGTTATGTTAAAAAATTTAATTTTACAAATAATTTTCGAAATTATCTGATGAATTAAAAAATAAATTTTTACTAAAACGAGAAATGAATTAAAATTATATATTTTAAAACTCAAAGTAAATATTTCTAAAATTCAAAACAAAACTCGTGTGTATTGTGCGCGTGCGCATAATATATTTCGCTTTTATTGGAGGAGAATTGCATTTTGCTTCAGTAGTGGAGTTTTTCTTGAAGCACGAATTTTTAATCATTACGTTTATATTAATATTTAAAAAAAAAAACTTTGCTCAATACACAATCATGTGTCGAAACTATTTAATTGATTTAATCAAATCATTATGATTTGTTATTTCAATAAGTGCTAATGATTCTCACAGAAATTCAGACAACTTTTATATTATATTCATTTGATTAAAAAAGTTAAATCATGTTTGCTTCCGGAGTGCTTTGTGTTGTGGTGGGAATCGTATTGTTTCAAAATTCAGCAGCTAATTATTCCTCTGATGATTTAGGAACAATTATTTTTGCTAGTTTGGTAATAATTTAATTTCTTACGATTTCATTGTTTTTTTTTTTTTGAAAATATTGAACCATTTTTAGGTTATATTTTGTACCTTTATTCAAACACAAGATGTAATTTAATATATTTTGTAGTTTTTTTTCTTTTTTTTTATTAATTTTCAATATTTTAAAAAATGTTATGTTTATAGAAATTTGAAAATTTATTTTTATTATTTTAATACAATTTCTTTCATTTTTGCATATAAAATAAAAAAAAATATATATATACAATTTGAAGGATTTTATTTATGAAAAAATGATTAATATTGAATATATTTATATAAAGTTGATGACTTTTTAAAAAGTGAATTCTTTTTTTCTAGCAACCTTGATTATTTATGACCAATTTTTTTTGTAATTAAAATAATTTTTAATAAAAATTTAAAAACTGAGTTGATAATAATTGAACCATATGTTTTACAAGGTTGAAGGTTTTTCCTGTTTTCTGATAAAACGTGCCACGGACAATAAACTTGTTAAACAAGGAAAACAGTAAAAAATTGTTTATCAAACTCATTTAAAATTTGTATTTTAGAGCAATATTGTAGTGAAAAATAATTTTTTGCAATAAAAAAAAAATAGACTTTTTTAAATATTACTTTTTTTTAATAAAAAAAAAAAAAACAAAAATTTTCTTTACATTTTTATAATAATTTAGAAATTTAGTAACAAAAAAAAAAGTTAAATTAAATTCTCTGATAAGAATTCTTATATGTTAGATACTATAAATCAATGCTGAATAAATTTGAATTTAATCCTAAGATCAGAACTTAATTTACATTTTTTCAAAATTTTTCATAATTCATCAATACTTTTAAGAATATTAGAAATTATATAAAAAAAATGCTTAATCAATATTTATTAGTTAAGTTAAAAAAAAATTAATTTTTAAATTGTTTCTAAAAAAGTTTAAAAAAATGTTTTCCTTTTTTTTTTCTTTAAAAACACCCGATTTTTATATTCTTGATAAGAATAACTTTATTTTTATTCTATATATTGTTTTTAAATTATAACTTATATACATTAGATAAAAAAAATATATATATAGTTGTCATTTTAAATATGTGATAAAAAAAAAGACAAATAAATTGCGATAATATGAAAAATAATATAAAGGAATGCAAGGATGAAATAAATAATTGACATTAGCAGAGAAAAACTGTTATCATATTTAATTCATTCGGAAAAGTTTATTGACTGCATCAATTTGTTGAGCGACTGATAAAAAGACATTTGTCCTCGCATGACTTGCAATACAATTATAAGCTATGATTAATTTAAAATAATTTTTACCAACTTATTTTATATATTGTTTTTAATTTTTTTTTAAAAATAATTTTCAATTTAATTATAAATAATTTATAATATTATTATTATTCAATTATTAATTAAAATTTTTAATTTTATTATTAATTAAAAATTTAATTTTAATATTATCCGATAATAATATGAATAATAATAATATACAGAAAAATATAATATACTATTTTATGTTTTCAATGTAATTAAATAATGATATAAAAATGCTTAATTCGCAAACAATAGAAATGATTAAAAGCTATATTTATCTATGTTTGATATTAATAATATTTTCTTGATGCTGCATTTTTTTTTTTTTTTAAATCTATTTTTGTACAAATCTATGAAGTGAAGTAACAATCGACTAAAGGTTGATTTATACATTAAATATAACGAGAATATATGTCACTGAAATTTCTATATAAGTCTTGAAAACTAAAGCTTCAGATTCAAGGACTCTTGAGAATAAATTATTTAAGTTTGAAATTTCTATGCTGGTTTTAATCTTATGTCATATGTGATATCGAAATACTTTTTAATATTCAATATCCTATGAAATAAAACTATTATATTATTATTATTATTATTATTATTATTATTATTATTATTATTGTCATTTATACAAAATTTAAAAAAAAATAATTTTTTATATTAAATATTATATTAAGTGATTTTTTTATAGGCAAATGAAATAATATAATTAATAGGAAATAATTATAAAAAATAAATAAAAAAATAAATAAATAAATTATAAAAATAAATAAAATTAAAAAATAAATTAATTAAATTAAAATTAATTAATTATAATTGGTTACTTGACTATTATCAAATAAATATTTACTTGAACCAAATAATTTTTATTTTCGAATTAAATAAATTCTATACATTTGAACCAATAATTTTTGTATTTGAAACAAATACCATTTAATTGACTCAAATATAATAATTGAACATTTTTATATAGCTTTTTAGACATGGAGATCGAACGCCCGTCAACCCTTATCCAAACGATCCATATCGTAATGAATCATCATGGCCTGTGCCCTTTGGCCAGTTAACAAATGTAAGTTATTGTAACTTTTTTTATTCTCTTGTATAATTTTTTTGATTTGATTTTTTTTTAATCTCTAAATATTTTTTTCTTTTATTATATTTTTCGTTTTTATTTCAATTTTATTTTATTAATTTCCAATTAATTATTTTGTATTTTAATATTATTTAATTAATGTATGTAGTTAAAATTTGTTTTTGAAGAAACTAAAAATTCAAATTTAACCCCCGAGGTGATTCGAACGCACCAAAGCATGATTTAACTCGCGCTTTGTGAACGCCTGTTACTTTAGAAATTCATTTTCAACAATTTAGAAATTCAATTTGAATAAATTAAAAATTTAATTTTAAAATAAATTTTAATAAATTAAGTAAATTTAATTTTAATAAGTTAATTTAATTTAATTAAATACAAAAAAATTTGATTGAAATAAATGAAGAATTTAATTTTAATTGAATTAAAAAAAAAAAAATTTAATATCAAAACTATATAGTTGGGAAGACATCAGCATCTACTACTTGGACGATGGTTGAGAAAACGTTATAGTAAACTTTTACCCGAAACTTATACGTATTACGATATATTTGTCCATAGTACGGATGTGGATCGAACATTAATGTCCGCTGAGTCAAATCTTGCAGGATTATATCCTCCTGAGGGCAATCAAGTTTGGGATATTTTAAAATGGATGCCTATTCCAGTGCACACGATACCCGAGAAGCAAGATCATATTTTATCAGCAAAAAAATATTGTCCACGTTATGAATATGAACTCGAAAAAGTTATGCAATCTGATGAAATGAAAAAAATTGATCAAGAAAATGCTCAAATTTATGAATATCTCACTATGCATACAGGAAGAAAAATAAATACATTAGAAGATGTGAATACAGTTTATAATACACTTTTTATTGAGGTAAGCAAATTATATTATCAATTTTTTTTTCTAATCTTTTTAAGAGGGGTGTAAAAAAGGCACGCACTTTTTTAAATAATTTTTTTCGGTGATATAAAGTGTGTTACTTTATTAACTTAATTTCCACATATGAGGCAAAATTATTGTTATTGTTGGTGAAAGTCTAAAAATCAATTATTATTGAATTTAATAAAATAGTTTTTGAATTACAACGTTTTTAATTTTTAAAAAAAAATTTTTTTTCAATGTACAATATTTATAAGTAGAATGGATAAAAGTTAACATATATATAATGTTTTTTAAAGCTTTTTTGACGGGCTACACGCTGTTAATAAATTTTTTTTTTTTTTAAATAACATTTGACCTTGAAATTCAAGGTCAAAATGTTAATTTACGTTTATCTCAAAATCGGATTTTTTAAAATTATTTTTAACTATCTCAATGGAAAGCTTGACTAATTTCCTACAAAACATGTAATTTTCAGAGTGGGATCTTTTAAAGTTTTTGAGATATTAATTAATTAATTAATGTTTATAACAAATCAAATATTTTACAAACGAATAAAGTTACCGTAATTCTGAAGTTAATAATTGAAAGTTAACGTAATTCCGCATCCAACGAGCCCTGTATGAAGTATTTTGGATAAGTAGATTGTTAATAAACAATTAGTTAACATTGCAATTGTTTATTAACAATCTACTTATCCAAAATACTTCATACAGGGCTCGTTGGATGCGGAATTAGCTTAACTTTCAATTGGTAAGTTCAGAATTACCATAACTTTATTTGTTTGTAAAATATTTTATTTTTTACTAACAACAATCATCCAAAAGCCCTATATGAAGTATTTTTGTCCAATTTTAGTTAAATAACAATAAAAAATGAAATATCTTACGAACAAATAAAGTTATGGTAATTCTGAACTTACCAATTGAAAGTTAAGGTAATTCCGCATCCAACGAGCCCTATATGAAGTATTTTGGATAAGTAGATTGTTAATAAACAATTGCAATGTTAACTAATTGTTTATTAACAATCTACTTATCCAAAATACTTCATACAGGGCTCGTTGGATGCGGAATTACGTTAACTTTCAATTATTAACTTCATAATTACGGTAACTTTATTCGTTTGTAAAATATTTAATTTGTTATAAACATTAATTAATTAATTAATTAATATCTCAAAAACTTTAAAAGATCCCACTCTGAAAATTACATGTTTTGTAGGAAATTAGTCAAGCTTTCCATTGAGATAGTTAAAAATAATTTTAAAAAATCCGATTTTGAGATAAACGTAAATTAACATTTTGACCTTGAATTTCAAGGTCAAATGTTATTTAAAAAAAAAAAAAAAAAATTTATTAACAGCGTGTAGCCCGTCAAAAAAGCTTTAAAAATCATTATATATATGTTAACTTTTATGCATTCTACTTATAAATATTGTACATTGAAAAAAATTTTTTTTTTTCAAAAGTCAAAAATTAAAAACGTTGTAATTCAAAAACTATTTTATTCAATTTAATAATAATTGATTTTTAGACTTTCACCAACAATAACAACATTTTAGAAAAGTATGGATTAAATTTGAGAACTTTTAATTTTTTGTTCGGACATTTCAGGAATTTTGCCTCATATGGGCCATCGACAGTCAAGGGGTTAATGATTTAAAAAAAAAAAAATTTCAACAGAATAAAAATGTAAAATAATAAATTATTTTTCTCTCTTTTTTTTTTAAAGGAACTTAATAACAAGCCATTGCCGGAATGGACAAAATTGGTATATCCTGATAAGATAAAACCAATTGCAGAGAAAAGTTTTGAAATTGATTGTTATAATAAAATTTTAAAAAGGCTAAAAACAGGTCCATTGGTTGGTGAAATAATTCATAATTTATTATTAAAATCGCAAAATTCATTGAATCCAGATAGAAAATTATGGATGTATTCAGCACACGATGAAACGGTGGCAAATTTTTTAATGACTCTTGGCTTATTTGATCGACATTGTCCACCGTACGCTGCACTCGTTTTGATTGAGTTACGACTTAATTCTAAAAATCAACACATTGTCACGGTTTGTTTATAATTTATATACTCATATTAATTTTAAAGGTGTTTTTAAAAAATTTTCTATCAAATCAGTGAGAAAAATCGTAACCTTAAATTTTTCAATTTATTAAAAAAAAGTAAATTATTGAAAAATTACTGAACATTAAATATATTGGAACTTATATACCAAAAAGATATAAATCATATTCCATTTTACCACCTTTATTTTGAGTCCATTAAATTTTAATGATGGGAGGAAATTATATTTTTTTCTTGCATCATTTTTGGGTTCTAAAAACATACAGGATGTCAAAAAAAAAAAAATTTAATTTTTGACCATTTTAAAATTTTTTTTTTTTTTTAAATTAAAATTTTTGAAAATCCATACGAAAGATTCTGAAGAATCATTAAAAAAAAGTGTTTGAAAAAAATTTGACGATGAAAATTAGTTATAATTGTAAAAGAAGATATTTAAAATATTAATTTTTTTAAGAATTTAATTTTTCAAATGGTCGAAAATTAGATTTTTTTTACCATCCTGTATAGGATGCAAATGATACAAGAAAAAAAAATAACTTCCTGCAATTAATAAAATTTAAAGGACTCAAAAAAAAAGTGGTGACTCTCCTTAATAACGATGGATTTATTAGAAAATTTTATTATTATTCGATAGAAAATGATTTTGAAATTTTTTTTTTTTTAATTTCAAATTTATTTTTTAGGTCTAACTTTTTTTGTTTGTACTTTGAAAAAATTTTAGATTTTGCAAGAATAATTTTTTATTAATATTACTTATCTTCTATTAAAATTTACATTTTTATAGAAATAGAGGAATGTGAATTTGTTCAATTAATTTCAAGTCTTATAAATAACCTTTTTGAAGAACAAATTTGAAAAATTTTATATTTCCTAAACGAAGCAAAAAACGCCTTCGTCGCAAATTTTAATAAAATAAATAATATTGGTATAAAAATTTATGTGCAAAATTTCAAATTTTTTCAAAGTCCAACAAAAAAGTAATAACTAAAAAAAATTTATCAAAATAATTTTTTATCGAATAATAATAAAATTTTTATAATAAATTAATAATAATAATAATAATAATAATAATATGTAAATATAATTATTACATTTTTTCTATTTACAGATTTCTTACAAGAATTCAAGTGATGAACCAAATTTATTAACTCTTCCGGGTTGCGTTCCAGCATGTCCATTGAAACAATTTGTGAGACTAACAAAAGATTTGATTCCGGAAAATTGGGAGGAAGAGTGTTTAACTCATGTATTGCATAGTGAAATTTTAAGTCCAACAGGTGTTATAGGTAATTATTTGGATATCTTTTTTTTATTTAAATAAATAATTTTAATTAGTTTATTTCAACGTTGCGAAATGTAAATTAACTTTTTTTTAAATTTTCATGACTAATAAAGGAAAAAAAAATTTTATTTCAGTGATGCTGACTTCATCCGTTTTAATGTTGATAATATTGCTAATATTATTTGTTGGATTGGTTTACGGATATCATAGGCGAAAATATGATCAGTATTATTTACGATTGACGACTGAACCAATATGAAGAAAAAAAATAAGTATCCTACCTCAATTATTGTTTTCTTTCTTTCTTTTTTTTTTTTTTTTTTTTTTTTTTTTTTTTTGAACACTTGAATCGATTCAAAGGCTGATCTTAATTTTAAGTAACTGACAAAATTTTAAAGATTTGATTAACTGTATATTTATATTTATAATAATTATAAAATTATAACAGTAAAATTTCCAGATATATATTTTGTAATATGTGATGAGGTTTATAAATTTAAAAAAAAAACAAAGGTATGTACTGAAATTTACTGTGTTTAAATAGAGAAATTAATTTTGATGAAACTGTTAAAAAAATATTTTGGAATCTGATGGTAAAAGACTGTCTTTGTACATGTCTAGTCATATAGATTTTTTTTACAAACTACTTTTAATTATAATTAAAATCAAAAAATTAGATTTTTTAATATTAGATATTTTTAACAAAACTCGAAAGAGAAACCTTTTGGTACTTTAGATAATATGTATATATATATATATATATATATATATCTGTGTATATGAAATAGTTTAAAACACAATTATTTATTTCGAGATGCAATAATATTATTGTAAAAAACATAAAAAAAGTAAATTTACTACAAATGTTTACATACATAAATAAAACTAATCAAATGTTTTCTTAATAAACGAAAATCAAAAAAAGAAATGAACAAAAAGTACAAATTTTTTTCATATTTTCAAGTATTTTTGCTTGTTTTAAAAGAGAAAATTCTATACCTATATTTTCAATGATAAAAAAACATGACAAATGGATAACAAACGAGGTTGAAATTAATCTGTTTAAATGATTGATGATCTGATTTGTTTGTTTGTTTTTTTAAAAAGATGAAACTATTCTCAAATAAACAATTGTGTATGTTACTACAAAAGACAATTATATATTTCTAAAGAGAATCGATTGTGCATTTAGTTTTTTTTACCTATTACTCATTATCAGATAGCACGTAAATTTACTGCAAATGCGGATAAATATAGCGACAATCTTGTCGAGCAAGGTTAGCCGTCATTATACGCGCTATCTAAATGAGTATTAAAACATTGTGATAAAGTATTACATATATATATGTAGAAACAATAAAGTTTCTGAAATAAAAATAATTTTGGGAGTACAATTTCACTTATTTTCTCTTCATAAAACATTCTCCTAGTACCTACTTTCCTACTCGAGAGCTTCAACATACAATCTTTAAAATTCAAGAAAAACCTCAGGTTTCGTTTACAAAATTAATTTATTTTTTTGAAAAAAAGTATCGGTTTTCGTGAAAATAGCAAATTTAAGTTTAATTATAGAAAACCAAGGTCCAAATTAAAAAATTTTTTTTAAATAAATTTTACCATTGGAAAGAGCAACAAAAAATCTTCAAAAAAAAAAAACCTTACAAAAATTTTTTTTCGGACATTTTACCATTAGGTAGGGTCAACTGGGGTAAATCCGAACGCTTTTAGTAAGTTTCAACAATAACATAAGTTTTTTCTTTAAAAAAAAAATACTTCCGGTATTCTGGTGCATGAAGTTGTTACTTTACTTCCATAGAACAATTTTATGGGGTAGAAAAAATTTTTGATAAATTACAATCGCAGGAAACTTAGCGTTCGTATTTACCTCGATACTTTGCAACTTTCCTAAAATATGGGGGTAAATACGAACGCCACTGTATTTCAGAAAAATCTTAGGGAAAATAAATTTAAAGTATTGCAATTGTTAAACTTATATAAAAACTCAAAAAAAATACGATAATAAACCTATTATGTAATAATGCATCATATATAAATACAAAAATCAAACAGGTTAAAAATTAAAATGCATTACACAATTAAAACCTTCAATAACTTTATCAAATCATAACGGATTTTTGCAAAACTTGGTACAGAAAGTATTTTGGAGTGATTGAATGTAAATACAAAAATAAAAGTCAAATTTTTTAAATTCAAAATGGCGTACTTTCCTAAAACTTATTTTTAAAAATGATCAAATTTGCTAACCCTGAAACCCCCCGAGTAACAATTTTCGAGCGAATCCAATGAATTTTTTAATTCTCGTCCGCCATTTTGAATTTTGAAAAACTGACTTCAAATTGGTAATTAGCGACCCCAAAAACCGTAGAATACCAAATTTTATTAAGATCCTGAAAAACTTTTTTCAACAAACCATTTGGCAAAAAAATTGAAACACTCCTTCGAGAGAACAGAGATTAAGTTTCTGCTTATTAATTACTAACGAGGATACGTATAGAAAGAAAAACTTTTTTCTATGTACTTTTATAATGTTAAAATAATAGTGTAATCAAATAAAAACAATTTTGTGTGGCTTTGATGTAAAAAAAAATTATTAAAAATACCGTTCGGATTTACCCCAGTTTTCCAATTTTCTTGGGTAAATACGAACGGTCTGATATTATTAATAAAATTTTACAGAAGGCAAAAATCAAATATAGTTTCTGTTCTAGTATTCATAACAAACAATTATAAATAATAAAATGAATTTTTAGCTTCTTTTTCTTCAAATACGAGACAAAATACTGAAAGAGTGTCATCTTTGATTTTCAATCTTTTTTGCAATACTTGTTATCTTTGTTTATGCTGTTGCTAATTAACAAACAAAAAATGGGATAATACTTAGAATCTCTTCAAGAGGATCTGAGGTAAAAATTCTCATATCGAACTTATTTTTAAAAATTTTAATTAAGCTGAAATAATTAGCGTTCGGATTTACCCCGACTGACCCTAGGTCATCAATTTTCATAGGTTTCAGTTTTTTTCGAGAAATCAATATTTCAACTTAGGATATTACACGTGAAATATTATTATTAGATGTATTCCACGCCAAATTCGAAGTTCATCTGCAATATTGCATCTCCGATATTTTTTCTTTTAGAACTAATTGAAACTAGCTTTCACCATTTTTTTTTCAAATTTTTTAGGTAGTCATTTTCGATATGTGAATATTTCAAAATTTCAGAATTTTAATGACTTTAAATGAATATATAAAGAATAAGAACATATCAATATTTTTATGATAAAAATAAAGGAAATTATGATTTTTTAACCCCTTGGCTGTCGACAAGATTTCCACTACTTGGACCAAAAGTGTGTTGAAAAACATTTTAACAGATATTCATAAAACTTGGTATACTAAAATTTTTAGGGTTGCTGATTACGAATCTGATATTAGTTGTTCAAAATTAAAAATGGTGGATCCAATAAGGTGGATTAAAATTATTAAAAATGTGCGGATTCGATTAACAGTGCTTACTCGGGGATTTTTGGGGTCGCTAATTGCGAATTTGAATACGGATTTTCAATATTATAAATGTCAGCTTCAATATAATAGAAACAAGTTGTAAATTCAGATGTTCATAACATGAACATTTTGCTTCCTCTTTACGATCAGCAAAAAATTTTGCTTCCTCGTGGAGAAAGCAAAATTTTATTGCCAAAATGTGAATTTTTGATTTTTTAACTTTCAATAATTCTTTAAATTTACCTCATATGTGTACTTTACATATACCGATCGATTTGTCTGGACGTAAGGAATACGATTTTATTATATATAACCTTAATTTTTTCTATTTAAAAATGTTTTCGATTAAAAAGAAATTTTTGAAAAAAAGACGATAAAATTTTTTTTTTGGGGTATTTTTCAAAATTCTGTGGTCAGATTTGAGATATTAATATGATAAATGAGCCTACCAAATTTTGTCTAAATCCATTAAAACCTGTTAAAGTTATCTTCTAAACAAAAAAGGGATCCACACACACACTTACATATATCCGGACAATTGATCAGGATCTCATATAACATGTTTCTATAAAGAAAAAAATTTGTTTCCGCCACTTTGAAAAGTTTTATAAACGACAGGACTACAAAGCTTCCTCCACGAGGAAGCAAAATGGATCAAAATTGGCCGAATTCAAAATTCGCCATATTGGATTCGACATTTTGAATGTCAGACTCAAAAAATTCATAACTTTTTTGTTTTAGTCTCTATTGAAAAATATTTGAGGAAAAAAGTGTTTCATTTGAGGAGTCTTTTTTGGAAAAAATATAAAAACAAATTTTTTGGAATTTTTTTTGAAATTTTTTTTTTAATCTTAGGCTTCATTTTGACCTTTTGAAAAAGTGTACAAAATTTTAGACCGATTCATTAAGATTTATTCGAGTAATCAAGAAAACAAAATATCAAACAAGAGACGAAAGACAAGACTAAAGGCTTTAGACTTTTTCTTCACCCTCTATAAATATTCAATTTATTATTATTATCTTTAATAAATTGAAAAAAAATCATAACTTTTTTCTTTAAGTCTCAATCGAAAAATGTTACAGGAAAAAAGTTTCTCATTTCGGGAGTATTTTATGGGAAAAATATATATAAAATAAATTTTTTTTCAAAATTCAATGGTGGTCGCGAAGTAATAAAACACATAATGGCCCGAGAGAATGGGTTGTTTCTGTGACAGCTGATGACAGATACAGCGAAATGAAGCGAAATTAACAAAATTATTATTTTTAAATTTAAGATGGGTGTATTTATTTTACAGGTATATATGTAAATATTCTTTGCAGTTTTTTTTGTAAAATTTTTAATAGGTAGATTGAGCTAATTTTTTTGATTTTTTACAGTGCAGTGTAAAAAAATAACATATAACCTAAAAAATTAGACCACTTCATTAATAATAATAAATTAAAATATGTACTCACTTTTGTAAGAAGAAATACGTTCTGCAACTTTTTTTCCACAGCATTCACATATATACTAAAACCATTTTTACTTAAATGTTTATATTTAAATGATATAATATTAATAATGATGAAAACAGACGTTGCTTGAGTGTGTCAGTGGTCCAGTAAACAGCGCCAATTCGAGCAAGTGGCCGCTGAATCAACTATGATATAATACATTATTTTACTAATTATTGCTTTATTTTTATAATTTTTACGTTAAGTTATAGTAAATGAGAAGAACAGCCCTATGCTTTGCACCCTCCTTTATCAAGTCTTGTATATTTTAACCCCAAATCATTATTTATTTCAGAGAAAGTTGGAAACAACAAAAAAACGTCCTTTGCCCACATAGCCTTAAGGCCAGGTCCAAGTGAGGCAGCGCCATTTACATTGAAACTAAAATTTTTGAAAATTTCCAACAGCCTTTTCTTAAAAACAAGAAGATAAAATGCTTTTTCCTTTATGGATAATTGATTATTGGCAAGAAATACACCAGCTAAAACTTTTTTTAAGTTAAATTAATAATGAAAAAAATTTCATGTCAATAAATTAAATATGAGCACTTTTTTACAAAAACTGTAACAGTACTTTCTCAGAAATTACAATCAAAAATGAAATTTCCATTTGGAAAATTAATAAACGCTAAAAAATACACCAGCTAAGATTTACCAATCACGAAAATAACAAAAAAAAAGTTTTTTAACATAACATATTTTACTAATTATGACAGCCATTTGGTAGTAGGTTATATATGTCACCAGATGTTTCGCGATTTTGCCAAAAGGAGGAGATTGGCGCTGTTGCTAACCACCTGAAATACATAATCTACCAAAGGGCTGTCACAATCAGTAAAACAGTGTCCATATGTTAAATATGTAATAAAATTTTTTGTTGTTATTTTCGTGATTGGTGAATCTTAGCTGGTGTATTGTTTAAACGTTTATTAATTTTCCAAATGGAAATTGTACTGTTACAGTTTTTATGAAAAAACTGCTCATATTTAATTTATCGACATGAAAATTTGTTCATCATTTTGACCCAAAAAAAAGTTTTAGCTGGTGTATTTCTTGCTAATAATCAATTATTCATAAAGAAAAACGCATTTTACCTTCTTGTTTTCGAGAAAAGACTGTTGAAAATTTTCCAAAATTATAGTTTTAATGTAGATGGCGCTGTCTCACTTGGACCTGGCCTTAAGGGTATGTGGGCGAAGAACGTTTTATGTGATTTGAAACTTTTTCTGAAATAAAAAATGATTTCGGATTAAAATTTTAGAAAAATGATTTTGTTTGGTACAAGAAATCTCGCTATTCTTCTCATTTACTATATAACTTAACGCGAAAATAATAAAAATAAAGCAATAAATAGTAAAATAATGTATTTAATCGTAGTTCCTTCAGTGGCCACTTGCTCGAATTGGCGCTGTTTACTGGAGCACTGACACACTGAAACAACGTCTGTGTATGCGCCGCCATCTTTGTTTTCATTTTCGTTTAAAAATCTCACTTTTTAAACTTCATTTTTTAATAATTAAACTCAAAATTATGTATTTTTCGGAGAACAACAAGATTCCTTGTACCCTAATCTATCATCCCTCAAAATTTTAGACAAAAATCTTTTCTCATTTTTGAGTGAAATTTATACTACCAAAACACATTTTCCCATACTAGGTCACGTGGGAGGTGCCCACATACCCTTAAGGGTATGTCCAACATGTGAAATGTAAACAAACATGAAATGTAAACAAACCATGCACATTTTTTCGCAGTTCTCATTTGCGTAGAAAATAAAAATTTGTCGTTTTCTTTATGAAAATGGTAAATTAATGTATTAAAGTTGGTTACTATACTTTATTTAACTAATTATATGAAAAAATAAGTACAATTATAATGAAATGAAAAGTGCACTGAATTAGCAATTTTTTCAAGGTTTCGAAAAAAAACCATTTGAGTATATCTGAGGCACGGACGTTGAGCGCCTAGGTGGGAGAAGAATGTTGAGCCATTGGACGGTCACATCTTGGAAAGGGTAAAATTCTGAAATTTTACCCCTTCTCTCACTTTCTCCCACCTAGGTCCTCAACGTCCGTGCCTCAGATATACTCGAATGCCTAAATTTTTCGTAACCTTGAAAAAATTCATATTTCAGTGTACTTTTTATTTCATTATAATTATACTTATTTGTTCACATAATTAGTTCAATAAAGTATAGTTACCTAGTCTAATATTTAAATTTACCATTTTCACAAAGAAAACGAAAAATTTTTATTTTCTACCCAAATGAGAAGTGCGAAAAAAATGAGAAAATTGCTAATTCAGTGAACTTTTCATTTTATTATAATTATACTTATTTGTTCAGAAAAGTTGTTAAAAGAAGTATAGTAACCTAATACAATATATCAATTTACCATTTTCACAAAGAAAGTTACAAATTTTTATTTTCTATTCAAATGAGAACTGCGAAAAAACTGTTCAAAATCTAAACAAATCATACCCATTTTTTCGCAGTTCTCATTTGAATAGAAAATAAAAATTTGTAACTTTCTTTGTGAAAATGGTAAATTGATATATTGTATTAGGTTACTATACTTCTTTTAACAACTTTTCTGAACAAATAAGTATAATTATAATAAAATTAAAAGTACACTAAATTAGCAATTTTCTCATTTTTTTCGCACTTCTCATTTGGGTAGAAAATAAAAATTTTTCGTTTTCTTTGTGAAAATGGTAAATTTATATATTAGACTAGGTAACTATACTTTATTGAACTAATTATGTGAACAAATAAGTATAATTATAATGAAATAAAAAGTACACTGAAATATGAATTTTTTCAAGGTTACGAAAAATTTAAGCATTCGAGTATATCTGAGGCACGGACGTTGAGGACCTAGGTGGGAGAAAGTGAGAGAAGGGGTAAAATTTCAGAATTTTACCCTTTCCAAGATGTGACCGTCCAATGGCTCAACATTCTTCTCCCACCTAGGCGCTCAACGTCCGTGCCTCAGATATACTCAAATGGTTTTTTTTTCGAAACCTTGAAAAAATTGCTAATTCAGTGCACTTTTCATTTCATTATAATTGTACTTATTTTTTCATATAATTAGTTAAATAAAGTATAGTAACCAACTTTAATACATTAATTTACCATTTTCATAAAGAAAACGACAAATTTTTATTTTCTACGCAAATGAGAACTGCGAAAAAATGTGCATGGTTTGTTTACATTTCATGTTTGTTTACATTTCACATGTTGGACATACCCTTAATCAAATGAATTTTATTCTTTTATCGGAACGAACCAAATTATATTATTTAAAACTGTCAACGATATGTTGGAATGGTGTGCCCTCATATAAAAAAAAATAAATTAAAGCACTGTAATAAAACCTAAAATATTTATTGTCATTTATATACAATATAGATACAAGATTTTTTTTTCTTAATTTACAATAAAGGTTCAACATTCGTTGAACTTGAGTTTCTTTTTACATTTATAAATTTACAGAGGTAAAAATTCGTCGAGTCTGTTGTTAAAAAATCTCATTAGTTTAGTTTATCGTTTGATTCATAGAAAAGATATTATTACTATCCGAGGCCTCATCAGCTGAAAATGCTGGATTTGTTCTGAAATGCAATTTATAATTTATTTATTCACTTTCTTCAAGTGTAACCCTTTTAACACCTTTAAACAAAATGCCCACTGATGATTATTTTGTTGCTTTTTTTTTTTAATCAAAATGAAGAAAAAAAACTCGCAGTTAGTACAATGTCCATATATATATATATAATATATAGGAAAAAGCAATGCTTGTGTTAAATTAGTGACACAAGTTTCACTTGTTCAATATCTCCGTGAAAATTCTCTTGATAAATCTTCACCTCTTTAGAAGTCCCATACTGTCTTTGTCAAAGAAAAACATGCAAGAGGAAAAACCATATTGTTAATCACTTTTAGAAAATGACATCAATTTTTTTTTTTTTTTTTGTTAACCAAAAAAAATACACACACACACACTCAAGGCAGCACACGAAGCTCTGATTTTTAAAAACTAATTATTAGCTATTTTCCTAAATAAAAATTTTTAATTCGATTTTGCTTTTTTCTATTTTCATTGCTTATAAGCTAATTTTATGATGAGATTTATGAAATTTCATACTTCGAGCAGAATCTCATTGTTACAATTAAATTTTAATTTTCCATATAATTTTTTTTAACCAAAAAATTAAAATCTATATTGCTTTTTAAGGTTATAAAATCGAATATTTTTAAATGTTTAATTAATTGACTGTAGAATTCTTATATTAAGATTAGTTATATCAACGAACAAATGAAAATTTTTATTTTTCACATTCCTAACTTTGTTTTTAAACAATAATAGAAATTTAGAAAAGAAAAAATTTTACAAAAATAAGAAATTTTACTGAACAAAAAATGAGGGATTTTTTAAATTTCTAAAAAAAAAAAAAATGAGATCTGCTTGGAATATAAAGCTCATATAGGTCCTGAGGTCCACGCACCTGACACATACCTTTGCAGCGCAGCAGTCACGGGAGCATGTATCATATATGGCACGTCAGACAGACATCACAAAACTCGCGAATTTTATTTCTCGATTCATATTATGCTAATTTGCTTTCTATTTATGATATTATAATGTATAGAATTAATTTCTTTGGGCACTTTCGCTTTTTCGTATTGATGCTAATTGCTTAGGCGTCCAAGGAAAGATCCGAACTGTTGACGAAGCTATGGATAGAAGGAAAAGAGTTATGAGATGATAAAAGTTTCAAGAAAATGAAAATATTTGTTTTCTTTGTTTTTTTTTCTCTTTTTTGCGAATGGAGCTATTTTTTTTTAAGTTTTAAGGTTATGTGATTATTATCATTTCACACATGTAAATGTTCTTCGTAAGTTTTCTCGCAAAATATTTGATAGATTGAGCTAAAATTTTGAATATAAAAAATGGGGCGCATTATTCCCCAAATTTCAATTTCATAATTTTCAAGACATCGAAATGTCATTTCACATAATTTTTATATTGCGAAATACCATTTAACATAATTTTTATTTTTTCGAATAATCATTTATTCTAATTTTTAAATAATAGAATTATCTATTGACATAATATTTATTTTGCCGAAAACTTCTTTAGCATAAACTTCATTCTTCCGAATGGTTATTTGTCAAAATCAAGAAGACTTCTTCTTGGTCACAATTATTAATTCTCCGAATGCTTATACATAACCTAAAATTCATTCATACTAATCGTTATTTAATATAATTTGCATGTTTTTGAGATGTTATTTCACATAATTTTTATATTTCGAAATAACGTTTAACATAATTTTTATTTTTTCGAATAATCATTTATTCTAATTTTTAAATAATCAAATTGCCTTTAAACATAATTTTTATTTTGACGAATGACCATTGGTTAGCAGTTTTAAATGTTCGAATTTTAATTATATCTAGATTTTTCATCTAATCACATTTACATTTAGTAGAATTTTTATTGTTTGGAAATATTATTTTACATAAATTTCAATTTTCTAAACTTTATTTGTTATAATTGTTATTTTTCTAAAATCCACATAACCTAAAATTCACTGACACTATTTGCTATTTTACATAATTGACAAAACACAGAAAATTCAAATGTCCTAAATTTTGTTTTGCCGATATATAATTTTTCATAATCTCTATTTCTTATAATAGTCACTGTACATAAGTTCCCTTTTTCGAATTTTCAATTATGATCCAAACAACAGACATTTCATTTCATCTAAAATATCACGTCTTAGTTTTTAAACAGTTGTTTCCCAACTATGTGTTTTATATATTTTGATTAAAATTGTCGGTAAAGAAAATAAAGATTTTCTTTTGTTTATGTAGAATCTAATCTACTTTACCGATAATTTTAATTAAAAAATATAAAACACATAGATGGGAAACAACTGCTTAAAAACTAAGACGTGATATTTTAGGTGAAATAAAATTTCTGTTGATTGGATGATATGTTATTTGAAAATTCGAAAATGGGAACTTATGTACAGTAATATTATTATAAGAAATAGAGATTATGAAAAATTATATATCGGCAAAACAAAATTTAGGACATTTAAATTTTCTGTATTTTGTGAATTATGTCAAATAGCAAATAGTGTCAGTGAATTTTAGGTTATGTGGATTTTAGAAAAATAACAATTATAATATAACAAATAAAGTTTAGAAAATTGAAATTTATGTAAAATAATATTTCGAAGCAATAAAAATTCTACTAAATGGAAATGTGATTAGATGAAAAATCTAGATAATTGAAATTCGAACATTTAAAACTGCTAACCAATGGTCATTCGTCAAAATAAAAATTATGTTAAACGATATTTCAAAATATCAAAAATTATGCGAAATGACATTTCGATAATAAGAATTTTGATGTCTTGAAAATTATGAAATTGAAATTTAGGGAATAATCATGCGCCCAAGAAAATATTAGTATATGACGCTCCACGAAAAAAGGGACCTTACGTCAAATTTATTATAGGTTATATTTAGTGACAACTTTTTGATAAAAAATTTCTTTCTAAAGTAAGATCAAAATTACTTTTTTATTGAATTTTTTTAAAATATAATAGAGACCTAAACATAAATTTTTTTTTTCTTCTGAGTTGATTTTATCTGAGTATTTTTATATTTCAAAAATCACAAACATAACCTATAATTTTTTTGACGTAAGCTCCCTTCTCTCGTTGAGCGTCACATATACTTGACAACGAATCCTTTTACTATTTTTGAGCTCTTCATAAAATGTTACCTCAATCTACTAAGTATTTTATAACATCTGCGGAGAATATTTACATGTGAAAGCAAAAAAAAAAAAAAATCACATGACCTTAAAAAATTTCACTGAATTTTACAGAAAATCAAAATTTCTAATAAAAATTTTTTGTGCAATTAAAATTTTTATTTTATTTAGGAAAAATTTTTTTAAAAAAATTATCAACTAGTTAATTAACTTTTATATGTAATTAATAAATATGTAATTTAAATAAAGATATTCTTATTTTATAAAAATCACGGTGAAAATTCATAAAGTTTAAATTTATTTATTTAAAAAAAAAATATTCAGAAAGAACTCCATTTACGACATAGTAAGAAATATAGAAAAATGAATGTATAAAATTGAATACAAAGAAAAAAAGAAAGTTATGAAAAAATTACATCGTTTATTAATCACAAAAGAAATAGAATTTTTTTTTTTTTAATTATCTATGAAATTCTAGTCTAGAAATTACAAAAGAAACGAATCTAATTGACTATAAAAATAACAGTGACACTTAAAACTCGTGCAAAAAATACAGAATACTAAAACAAACTACTATTAGAAGCAAAAAAAAATTCAGTTAATAACTAAAAATAACGAATTACATGCAACGAAATTTAATATTTTCAATTAGAACAAAGACTTTTTCTAAAACAATTTTTTTTTTTTTTTAATAGACAGGAAATGAAATATAGGAGGAATAAAGGTTTTGATTTATTAATTTAAAAGACGAAATAATCTCACGATATGATGAAAAATAAAAAAAAGATGATTTTCCATGTATAGAAATTTATGAAAAGTGCAACAGTGACTCATGAAAATTGATAATGACATAAGATTTATTCATTTTTTTTTTCAACAAAAAAAAACAGTGATTCTTTTCATGCCATCTTAAATAATCATGCAGTTATTAACATATAATAGCAACAGTGTAAAATGTCAATGGAAGAGATCAAAATTATTATCAACGTATAATATTAAAAAACATGGTCGCAATTTTTTTTTTTTTTTTTTTTTTTTTTTTGGTTCCAATATAAACTATACGTCATTCTTCTTCTTTTTCTTCATATGAAATTTTCCATATACAAATTTTCTATTAATTAAATATCCATTTTACTAAATTACAATATTTGAACGGATATTATTATATATCTTAAATATTCATTAATAACAAAATTTTCCTAACTTGATTTTTTTTCAATACAATAATGTTGAAAATTAAAATTAGAAGAAAGTGTAATAAATTAAATTTTAAACAAATGAAACTTTATCAAAAAATTAATTACAAAATATTAATTAAAAAAAAAAAAAAAAATTAACCTATTACACTTTGTTACTAATTTTTGTTTATTTTCTAAAAATTTGATATTACAAATTAATATAAACATTACTTTTCCAAAATTTTAGATTTTTTTTGAAGAAAAAAGTGTCTTTTACTTGTCTAAAAAGAATCTTATCACTAAATGTATAATAATTATCTTATATATTACTTATTATGTTTTAATAAAACAATGATTAGTCACAAAGACGTTAGAATTTTTTTTTTAAAAGTTAATCATTTATAAAAATAAATAAAAATATATATATACAGAACAATAAAAATAATTTTCAATGTTAATTTTTTCTTTTAGTGTTCTGTACAAATTTTTTATTATATATAATTGAGTATTTTTGTTTTTGTCATTAAAAACAAAAAAATGTTTCTTAAAAATAAAAAGTTAATAGTGTTAGTATGGTATTTAAAAATAATAAACCAGTCTGTTGTTTGATTGCATTCAATCGTTAATTATATCATTTGGTAAAATTTAAAAAAAAGTGCCTTAATATATACTGGAAAGTATATTAAAAAAAAAGAAAATAAAAATTAAAAAAAATTTGACAAAACATTTTTAACATAAAGAAACACTTAAGCAAAAGTCAAATTGTCTTGACCTTCACGAGTATTTTGCACAATTAAGCTAACACAAATAAAGAAAATTCTCCAATTAGCATCTTTAATCACCAAACAAAAATAAAAAAGCAAAGAAAGCACTTTTTTTTTTATTACTAATCCTATTAAAGTAAAAGGACTTACTGATAATAGTTAAAAAATTCAAATTTAATTTATAAAAATTAAATCTGAATTGTTTTTTAAAATACAAATAAAAATTTTGTAAATTGCATAAAAAAACAATTTTTTAAATTAATAATTTCTTCAAACTCTAATGTAAAAAAAAAGTAATTTTAAACTTTAAACAGTTTAAAAAAATGGAAACATTAATTTTTTCACTTTAGCAAGTCCTATTACTTCTAATGTTTTAAATACTAAAACTACAGTCAATTTTAGACTTCACTGAATATTAAAATTAACTGAATAATTTTTCTACTAGACAAATAAAAAGTGTAAAAATTGTGTAAAATTACAATCATTATAATAATAATAATAATTAGAAATAGTAAAACTAGAAAAACGATCTCTCGCTATTGCACTACATTTAAAATAATAATAATAAATACTAAATTTTCTAAAATAATTGGTAAAATTCACTGCATTTTGATTTATGTTAAAAAAAAAAATTCTATAAAAAAATATAATAATAATTCTGACTTTTTTTTTTTCATTTCCTATGAAATCTTACCTCGAATAAACGGCAGGATTTGACAATCCAAATGTATTTTCTACTGGACCGCCAATATATTTGACGACAAACTATGAAAAAAGAAAAAAAAAATACATATTTAACTATAAGAAAAAATTTAAAATAAAAATTATTAAAATTAATAATTATTATTAAAATATAATTTTTCAAAAAATAATAATTAATTATAAAAATAAATATATATTTTTGGTAAAATTATTTTTGCATTAATCTTCGACAATTATCTTCTAGAGAATTTAAATTCTCTCTATAAACAATTAACTTAAATTCTTATAATGAATTAATTATAATATTTAAAATAGAAAATAAATTAAAATTTGAAAATACGAACCCAATGATTGCCAAGAGACGTTGCTCCCATACTCACGGCCATATGTATTATTAAATACGCACAAAACATCAAATATAAAATTGAAAAAACAGAAAAAGCTAAAATAACTGCCCAATGATGTGACAATTTTTCATCAACAGTATTGATTACAAAATAAATATTTATTGATATTACTGTGACAGATAATAATGTCGCAACAATTTTATTTCCTCTGAAAAAAATGATAATATCTTTATTAATAAAATAATAATAATAATAAAGTAATAATGAAAATAATAATAGTAGTAAAAATAATATCACTAAATAAAAAAATATGATTTAAGTAAAACAACTAAATTTTCATATTTCAACATATCTAAAAATTATTAATTTTAAAGTTAAAAAAAAAATTCAATTGCTTTAAATTTTAAAGTAAAAGAAAAAATTTATTTTTACCACTGACATTTTAATTCATCGAAATCAACATTTGTTGACAATTTTTTTTTTGAAATTATTTAAAATCTAAAGTTATTTGCAAAAAAAAAAATTATTTTCCATCATTTTAGAATATTTTTTTTTTGAAAAAAAAATTGCTCAACAATTGAATGTTTAGAATCGTAAAAAAAAGGTTTTAAAAAATTCAGGCCTTAGATCGACTTTAATGCGTAAAAAAAAGTCGAAAAAGTACATTATTTTTATTTTAATGAAATTTAATTTGTTTTTTTCTTCTTTTTTTAATAATTTAAATAATTAAATTGCAGAAGATTTTGAATTAGAAATAAATTTTCTACAAATTTAAACTGCTGTAGTGTTTTTTTTTCTTCTTTTTAATTTCTGACAACTATTATTCAATTTTAGAGTTTTTGTTTGAAACTTTTCTAAAGTAATTGAATTTTTAAAGAAATATAAAAATTATTAAAAATAATTGAATTTTGAAAGAGTTATATAGTTGAAATTTTTAAAAATAATTGAATTTCAAAACGATTATGTTAAATTTTAGACAATAATTAAATTTTACAGAATTGAAAATAATTTTAGATAATTTTTTTTTTTTTTTATAAAAGAAGTTCAACTTTTATTACAAAAAAAAAAATTTACAGTTCTAGTAGAAAATTTTATTAACTTATAAAATTTTTTATTTACGTTTGTAATAATTTTAAATTCTCAACAAAAAAAAAAACCATAAATTTCGTTAAATTGAAATTTGATTTATCTCTGGCACTTTCATTATATATAAAATGAAAATGAATTAATAAAAAAAAAGATAACTTACAGTCCATTTTTAAAATCTCCCATAATATGAGCACTACTGGTGAATGCGATAGTTGGTAATGTGGCAAATGGTAATTGTAAACTCATAACCGCATTAAGCATATCATTCATTCCAGTGAGTTTTTCAATATCCGCATAGAATGCAAGTAAAAATGTTGGGATAATTGCAATTGAACGGGTAAATAAAACACGTTTCCAACGTGCCCATTGAAGATTCAGAAAACCTTCCATTGCAAATTGACCAGCATAAGTTCCAGTCATTGTCGATGATTGTCCAGCGGCTAAAATACCAATTGCCCAAATTACCATTGCCGCAAAACCAAATTGACATCCAAGATATATTCCTCCACTATACAAATCAGCATCGTCTAATTTTTCAGTTCTATTCTAAAATAATTAAAAAAAATTCCATTTACAAATTATTATTATTATTATTATTAATGTATAATTATAATAATTATTATTATATTACTCACTTTATATGTGTCAATTCCTATAGTAAAATTATTCTTTTCGCAGATTTCATACTGAAAAAAAAAATTATTTTATTATTTAAAAATAAAAAATATCAGTAAATATAAAATTATTTTCAATCAAATAAAATAAATTTTTAAGACTTAATCTTTTGTAAAAGTATTTACTCACTATTTCACTGCCAGTTTTATTAAATAATCCATATGCAAAGACACCCACGACAAAGACATTTATTATAAACGAGATAAACAATGCGATTGCAGCTTCTATAAAATAATACAAATTTGCTTCTTTTACTTTTTCTGGACGTCTACGATCAATGTCTCGCGACTGAAAAAGAAAATCCATTCTTGTAATACATATAAATATGGTCCATTAAAAAAAATTACGTTTCCATATTTCTCAAATAAAAAAAAATTAAAGTCGAATTTTTTTTTTATTTCTTTAATAAAAAAATACAAAATTTTTCTAATATTTAAAATATAATTTTTAATAATGTCAAAAAAAAATTGAAAATTTGGAAATGAACGATAAAAAAAGAAAAAAAAACTCATTTGTATCCATTGAAAAAATCATCTACAACAAATGATTAAAATTTTTTTTGTTTTAATAAATTTTTAAATCGATTAATCAAAATTTTGATTGATTTTTTTTTTTTTTTAAATTCTTTAACACAATTATTTTCAAAAACTCACTTTAACGAGTGCACTGTGCAAATATAAATTATGTGGCATAATAACTGCGCCAACAACTCCGACCGCTTTTAGCAAAACATCACTATTGTAACCCTCAAAAGAAGGGATAAACATTCCTTTTACAATTTCTAATTGAGGAGGTGCCGACACAATGTACTGAAAGAAAAATAAAATTATCAGTTATAATTGAAAAAAAAAAATACAAAAAAGTGACTTTTTATTCCAATTAAAAAAAAAAAAATCGAAAAAATTATCTAAATATTTATCAATTAAAAATATAGAAGGGAAAAAATTTTTCATCGTTAAAAATAAATACCTAATAAAATAATATAAAATATAAATATATAAAAAATAATTCGAAATAAAAAATTATTAAATATTAATAATAATTATTTACCTCATAACCAAATGTAACAGCCATTACTGTTATAAGAAAACCAAAAAACAATTCCAATTTTCTCAAACCGTATTTATCCAAAAATAAGAATGTAAAAGTATCAACAATAGTAATAAGAACACCTGCATATAATGGTATTCTGAAAATAAAAATCAAATTAATGTTTTATATGTACTTTAGAAAGAAAAAAAAAGAAAACTTAATTAGCGCATTAAAGAAAAAATTATTTCCACAAATAATTACCATTTAATAGCTTCCGTTCTTTAAAAATCGTCTCCTCTCTTTCTTTTATTCAAAAATAAAAATTATTCTTTTATCTACATTTCCTACACGCGATAATTATATATTTTACAAGGCAGTTAAATAATAATTTCCTCTGAACACCTCAACATCATCAATGAAATTACAGTGACATACATTATTAATTTGATAAGTTGGTAAATTCATTAGTTTTTTTTTCCTCAATATTAATCATTAAACATTCAGTGTTATAAGAATTTTAAAGAAAACTATTTAGAAAATTATTTTTATAGAAATCGTTTCTTATTTTTGTTAAAATTTATATTTAGTTACAAAAAAAGAAAAAAAAAATGAAGAAAAAAGAAAAAAAAAAAAACATAATATACAAAGAAAAGAATGATTATGAATAATTTACCTTTTATTTGATAAAAGAAAAAGTGCAATTGCTGTGCCAATAACTTCCTGCATATCGCTTCCAATTATAGCGATTTCTATCATTAGCCATAATATAAGTCGAGGTACTTTTTTATATTGTCTAAAACACATTTCGGCCAAATGTAGTCCAGAAACAACTCCTAATCGGGCACTCAACCTTTGCATTACGAGGCCCAAAACTGTTGCACTAAGAAGAATCCATAATAACTGAAATTTTCATTAAAATTTCATTCATATTTTTCATTAAAAAATGTCGGGAGCAAAAACATTAATTAAATTCTTATGTATCCAGTTATTATTTTTTAATCAAAAAATTAGAATCAACACTTTATTTATTCTTCAGTTGTATATTATTCGAAAAGGAAAAAAACACTCCTTTTTTCAACCAAAAAAAAAGAAAAAAATGTGTTTTTTTTAACCTATTAAAAATGTTTTTTTTACCCTATTTATCAAGTAAATTTTCTTTGATTTTAATTTTTCAAAAAACTGAAAATTTTTTTTAAAACCATTATTAATGTACAAGAAGAATATATTTTAAGAAACCATAATAAAATTATTAATTAAATTATTAAATTATGATTAAATTGAAGCTAATTAAAAGTTGAAAAAAATTGAAAATATAAATAATAATTATCAAGATGTATTATTATATGATATAATTATTATATCATATTATGATTATATAATCAGAATATTTTTAAATTTATCTTTAGATTGTATTTTTTAATTTTCTCGGTCAAGAAAAATAATTGTTTTTTTTTTTTTTAATAGAATTTTTCAAGCAGGAAAACCGTTTAGAAACATAAATAAAAATGATTAAAATTCGAAAAAATCCCCGTTACATTCTTTTTTTTTATTTTTAATTTTATTTTCGTCTGCAATAACTTTTCCTCATAGTGAATAATCTTCCTGGAAGTGTTGTAGAATTTTAATCTACGTTGAGCTATCAATATTCACATAAAAAGATTAATGTGTCCCGACTATAAAAATTTTTTCATACGCGCATTTTCCTTTTGGGAATCACAAATTTTTATAAACGCACATTTTTAACAATTATATAAATACTTTTCATTACAATAATTTAAATTATAATGCAAACAAAAAGAAATAAATAATTAATTTTTTTTTTTGAAATTAAAAGAAAATTCTCTAGCACTATTTTAATTAATTACTAATAAAAAATATAAATTATTTCAAATTACTTGTAATTTTTCGATACAGTAATAAAAAATAATTTTGTCATTTTTTATAAATAATAAATTATTTACATCGAGAATATGATGAAAAAATTATTTTATAATATATTATTTATTTAGTTATGTATTACAAAAATAATGATTTATTGAGTTAATTTATTTTTATTTATATTTTTATCATATAATTTTTTTTAATCTTTTTATTTTTAACTAAAAAAAAACTCTTGTGAACAATGTAATAAATACAAAAAAGTAGTTTAAAAAGAAAATGAAAAATAAATAAATAAATAATTGTCAGTGATATAAATTACAAATATAATTCATTGAATAATTGATAGTTTGATAAATCTACATAATTTAAGACTAATGATTACAAACATAACAGTTACTTACGTCGGTGAAGTTCACAACGTTTATGATTAACGATTGAAAAGAGAAAATATTTTTCTATCAAAATTATTTATTTATTTATCCAAAAAAATTTTTTTGCAACTTTTCTTGATCAATAATTTTTTGAAAAAAAAAATTGTAGGCAAAAAAAATTAGTTATTATTTTTTGAGTGAAAAATATTTTTTTTTTTCAATCGTTGATTATAAACGTTGCAAACTTCATCAACGTAGTTACTTTTATAATTTCACATTGATTGAATGAAAGAAAATTTAATATTAATATTAAAATTAAATTAAATTAAAAATTAAAAAATTCAGAAAATACCTTATATTGTGCTACTTTTCCAGATTGTAAATCAGACTCTATATTTCCAGGGTCCAAATATGCGATGGACATTAAAAATCCTGGACCCGTGAATGCCCATAATGTTCTAAAGCTAAAACCACTCTGAAAATAAATATTAATTTACAAAAAAAAAAAATTCAGTAATTCTAATATTATAAAATAGTAAACTAATACCTCCATGAAGTTAGCGTCGAAAATTATTTTTCATAGGACCAAAAATATCAAAAAAATTTTTAAAAAGGTTTTGGCTTCACATACTTAATGCCTTGAGAAGTATTTTTCAAGGTATTATTTGAATTGAAAAATTAAAAAAAAATTAATTTGAAATTTTTGATTCTGAAAAAATAATTTTCGACGCTGAGCGTCGAAGCCAACTTCAGGGAGGTAAACTAATAATTTCTTTTAATTATTAAAATTATTATATAATAATTCCTTACAATAATGAGAATTCAGTTTAGAACTAAAACCATTATTTTTCATTTCATTTATTTATATAAATCAAATTTACAAACTAATTTTAAAAAATTCTTTTTTTATAAATAAAATAATATTTATTAAAATATTATATTCTACATTTTCTAGAATGAAAAAAAAATAAACAATGTAAAATAAAAATTAATTACTTACGCTATTTCTCTCCGGAATTCTTATTTTTTCATTTGCAAAATAAGTTTGACCATTATTGGGCGAGAGTGATGTATTTTCACCAGCTCTTGATTTTTTTTGTATTTCGGGCACCACTCCAGTTACTGTTGGTAAATCATTCAAAACAGAATTTCCTTCCATGTTAATTAAAAACACTCGTCTAAAAAAAAAAAAAAAAAAGAAATTTAATTTACCTATACCATCAAATTAATGAATTTTCACATAAAATTTTACAACGCTGAAGTTTATGATTAACGATTAAAAAAAAATTAATACATATTTTTCACGCGCGGAAAATAAGAAAATTTTTTTAATAACTTTCTTTCAAAAATTTATTAATCAAAAATAAAATAATTCCCAATTAAAAATTATGCATAAAAAAATATTTTTATTGTTAAATCATAAAACATTGTGAACTTCATTATAATGTAAAATTTTAATTACATTCAAAATAAAAATTTAATATAATTCACATTTTATATGAAATAGAAAAATCATAAAATATGTATATACAATTTATATTTATTTAGTATAATTTTGCAAAACAAAAAAAAAAAAAAAGTTTATTCCATTATGTAAACCCGCATTGTTCTTTTTAATCAAACTCTGCGTGTTTCATTTTCAATTTATATATATGGTATTGTGTGAATAATACATCTATATGTAACTAAATTCGAATTATTCTGACATCAGCGTTGGACTTCCCGCGTAATTACACAATCACTATCTATTTCGTAAAGTATATATAAAAAAAAACTATTTTTCCGAAAGTTTGCAATTTCTTAGTAAATAATAATAATAATAATAATCATTAGAAGACAGTGAAATTGCTTCTTCTTTGAAATTATTTCATCATAAAAATACTATAAAAATTTTCTATACAAGAATTGATTTTAAAAAATAGTAGATTAAAAATATTAAATTTTTGCCATTATTTTATTAACTTATTAATTAATTTATATAATTAATGATTTTTAATGAAATTGAAAAAAAAAATAAATTTCGAATCAATATATATAATTTATTATTAAATTTATTTTCAAAATTACAAAAAAAAAAATTATTGTAAAATGAAATTATGTAAAATTTCATTAATACTTATTGAAATTATAAATTAAAAAAAAAAAATACTATTAATTATTATAAATAATTATAAACATAATTGTAAATGATGTAATAAATTTAATATTGAAATTTATAATAAAAATTTGTTTTGATTTTTAAATTGAAAAATATTTAATTTTGCCATTAACTAATAATAATATTTTATCACTTACAGCGAGTGTATATATTGGAAAAATTGAACTGATTTTCATGAATCGAGGATTTGTGAAGAATTAAAATATTACCACCAGCCTTTTTATATATAAGTAAAGAACAAGATTAAATGATATATAATTATTTTTTCATAATGTGAGAAAAAAAGGGAAGAGGAACTTTACTGTCCACTATAACATATTTACTCCCCCCCCCCTACCCTTTCTTTAACTCTCTCAATTTCGAATTAACACATCTCTGTGGTCAGAATAAATGACTAATGAGACCAATTTTGCAAATCGACCAAATTATTTCCTTATAAATACAATTTTAAAACACATTGATCAATAATAAATTGCTTTGGATCTCAAATGGCTTATGTGGATTTTTTTTTTCTTTTTTTTTTAATTCTTTAAAATCAATAATAACATTATTGATGTCTATACAACGTTTATGATCAACGATTAGGAAACAAATTTTTTTTTTAAAAACGGAAAGTTGTAAAAAATTTTTATCTAAAAATATTTTTTAAAATAATTTTTTTCATCAATAAACGAATTGAAAGAAATATTATTGAAACGAAATTTCATAAAATTATTCATTCAAAAAAAAAATATATTTCTTTTAAAAATAATAAATAATTATTATTCGAATAAAAAAATGATTAAAAATTAAATTTTGCAAAAAAAATTTGCATATTCTCACAAAATTATAAAACTGTTATTTTTAAAATTCATATGGATTAAATATTAAAAGTATGTTTGAACGACTGTCACATACATAATGATAATTTCAAAAATCAATCAAATTGAAGTTCATCAAGGAAAATTGAAAAAAAAAATAATAATAATTTATCTTTCTTGTAGTTCAAGGATAAAAGTTATTATATTTTTCTCTGTATATGTGTACAAAAAGACACATATATATAAACTTCTGAATCAGTTCAATGAAAATCATCACGTACCCACCTATCTAAGAGATTAATTAATTAAAAGATAAGATAAATTTAACGTGAGAAAAAAATTCATTTCAATGAATCTCTTTCTTTCATAAATACAAAAAAAAAATTTATAAAATTGCAACGAGAGAAAAGAAAATATTAAAAAATTCAAAATTGATTGTTTTTGTAAAAAAAAAAAAAAACAATTATCTCAAATTCCGTATTTATAATATTTATTTAAAATTTTTTTACTTCCCAGAATTTTTCTTTTCGATTTATGAAATCAATATCCGATTATTTTTATTTGATCTTTATATCAATTATCAATATTCCATATCACGGAAGATTAAATTGTCAGGTATATACAAACAGAATGTTATATATAAAGTATTAAACAAATTCAAAAATAATTATAGTTCCACGTTTTGATTTCTCAATCTGTATATAAAAAAAAAAGTTGAAAATTATTTTATTTTTCAATATTACAAAATTTCAATAATGCAAAAAAAAAAGTTGAAGATTATTTACAAAAATTTTAAATATTTATAAAAAAATAATAATATATATTATAAAATCTAAAACATTAAAAAAAATAATTAATATAAGAATAACTAAATTAACTTTTAAATTATGTACACTAAATACCAACTATCTAAAATTAATGTTAAGTAAAAAAATATTGCGTTAATTATAATGTAAATTGTGTAACACATAATTTAGAAGGTCATAAAATTACAACTTTATCTTTTTTAAAAAAATTTAAAGTACTTATGCGACCTTCAAAATTTTTTTTCTTTTTTTTAATTTATTGAGACGTGAATGTGACAAAAACACAAACGAAAATAAATTAAAATGAGAAATCTAAAAAAAAATTTTTTTCATTACGAGTAAAATGTAAAAAATCTTTTTTTCGATAGACAGAAAAATTATTTGACAAATTCAATTTAGTTGAAAAAAAAATTATTTTTTTTTATATTAAAATAAGTATATTTCTGCACAAAAATGATTCATCAATTATTAAGATTTGATATCAAGAGAAAAGTGACAATTTAAGAATATGACATTACAAAAGAAAGCACGTGGTTAGCTGCTGATAAAAAAAACGATCGTTTATTTCATTGAAACAATGTCCGTTGACTTTCTTTCTTTTATAAAGAGAGAAAAAAAACATAATTTTCCCAAAACTGACTATCATAAATAATAATAGTAAATGTAGACACAAAAAAGTACACGCAATTATACATTTATAGGTTATTTTCACTATTCACCCTTGAACTATATCTTACTTTGATAACGTTTCTTTTGCATTACTCAAATTGAATCCAAATATTAAATATTGAATAGCAATATTAAAATTACAATTAAAAAAAAAAGAAAATGAATATTAATTGCATTGATTTAATTAACAAATATATAACCTCATTTTTTAGAATATATCTTTGAATTGTTAGATTCATAAATGAAAATTATTACATTACCTTTTGTTGAATTAAAAAAAAATCAATTTGTCTTCTACAATAAAACTATTAAAAAATAAAATTATGCACAATAAACAAAAGACATTCACGAGTTAAACATGAAAACACACTTAAAACTCATTGATATATTCATATATTAACAATCACACTGACTGAAAGAAAACAATGCACTTTTTTCTTATCCATATGCGTGTCAAAATATTTAATTCTCAAATCTACACGGTTTTTAACAGTTTCCTTCACTTGGATAAGATGTTCACTTAAACACACATTCTCACATATAACAGATTTACTTGCATCCGTTGCATATTATCATCTTTTTTATCTTTGTTAATATAACCAACACAAAGCTCCACGTTACGCGTAAAAAAAAAACTGCGGATGTAAATGTATCTTTCACCTGCGCATTACATTCTGCGCATGATGAATTCCACGCATGCGTTTAAATTATCTAGATAATTTTTACAAAAGGTATTTTCAAAAAAAAAACATTCATTTTTGTTGTTCTTTTTTTTTTAGAAAATATTCAGGCTTTGATTTTCAATTTATTAAGTAAACATTAACTGCATAAGAATATAATTGTATAAAAAACTATTTAAAAAAAATTTTTTTTTTAATTTTCTCTTCTTCAATATATATACTTTTGAAAGTTTTACCAATTGTACCAACATAATAATAAAAAAAAAATGTGTGTTGTTCGGTAAAATAATGAAAAATTTAAATTTTTGGACAATATTTATTTTAATTATTTAATAATTATTAATACTAAATTCGGAGGTACACATAACATTGAACTAAAATTCAAATTGAATTCGTTCACAGCTTAAAAGTTTATTTGTACAAAATATTGGTCATTTGAGGAAAGCAAAGAGACATTTGCATTTTTATTGTATTACGAAAAACTTACAATACTAATTTCGTTCGTGAAAAAGTGAGGCTACTATACAAACTTCGTTTAAAAGTCTTTTTTTTTTATTATAAATTATCATTCTAGATATATAATTTATAAATTAAAATTACAACTCTCATAATATTAATCAATTTAATGGAATGTAAAATTTATTATAGTAAATTATTGTAATTCAAAATTAAAAAAAAAAAAATGTAATGTTACCAGATATACACTAGTGCTTAAAAAATTGTATTTTATAGGGTTTTTTCAATTATACGTGTCTGTATAACTGGTTGCATTTTTTAAAAGTAAAAAAATAACCAAAAAAAAAAAGATTATAAAATAATAATTGAAAATAGTCACAAAAGGTAATGAGAAATTGTTTTTAAACAGAGCTGTAATTTACTTTTAAAGAATGTTATGTAAAAATAACAAACAAACAAAAAAAAACAAAAAAAAAAAAAAAAAAAAAAAAAAAAAAACTTTAAAAATGCTAAAAAGTACATAAATTTTTTCTTGTTTAATACATCGAGTAAAAACTTAACATTAACATTACTATTTAAATAAAATATCGTCTAAACACATTTTTTTATAATAATATAAATTATTGAATCAACTAAGTTTTAGAAATTACACGATATATTTTAATAAAAAATTAATCATTCATGAAAAAGTATTTCTCACTCGCAAAATTTTTTTTAATATAATATTAATTTCTCATTAATAGGATAAATTTATTAATTTGTAAATTATTTATATTAATTTATACAAATTAAAAAAAAAATTCTTTTTTATCTTCAAATTGATTGAATATTATTATCCGCCAGCGGATCGTTTATTAAATTCATCAATTAATAAAAATTTTCTAATTATAAATAATTGTTTCATTAATTCGAAATTTTTTTTTTACGAAAAAAAATTTTTTATTTCTTGTTTATTTATATTTCAAACATTTTCATTTCTGTCTATTTTTTTTTAAACATTTCGAATGATTAAATTAATGAAATAACTATATTATTAAAAATAAACTTAATTTTATATAGACATAATTATATAATACTTAATTATAATAATTTGTATGATTTATAATAAATGTAAAATATTTAATATAGTATAACACGTATAATACAATATTATAATGAATATATAAATTATAATAACAGAAATTTTCTAAAATTATTAAATTAAAAAATTCATGTTAAACATAAATTTTTTTTCTTCTTTTATAATTATTTGATATGCGTTTATAATAAAAATATATTATTGCTGAAAAATAGAATCATCTTTTTATAAATCTACGGACTTATGTTTCTTTATTTCATTATTTTTCAAGAAAAATCAAGTTACATTGATTTCTTTTTTATTAAATAATTTATCAAATTTCCGTTTCAAATTAAATAAATATTTTCATATTTCGTTATCAGAAATATGTAAATTTTCATTTAATGATCGTTAATTTTGACTTTAATCTTAAAAACTAATTTTCTATATTTTTCTTTCATTAAATAATAATTAACAATGCAGAGGTAAATATTAAAATATTTCAAAAGAAAAAATTAAATATTTCACATATTATATGAATTTATTAATGTGAAAATTTTATCAACACATTTTTAAAATTAACTTTCACAATATATTTCAATATGTAAAAAACAAATTTGAATCAAAAATTTAATTTTTTTAAAATTCAAATTAAAAATGAACATTTTTTTTTGTTAAAATAAAAATGGACTTTGAAAATTCTTAACGTTGTATTAACATTGAATATTTATGTTTAAAGAAAAGTAAAACTTTCACGTCATCGTGAACAAAAAAAAAAAAAAAAAAAAATTTTTTACAATAGTTATTTTCTTCGCGAAATTATTCGTATTTCATAGAAAACAGTCTATTTTTATAATTATAACAATGTACATTTATAACGTATTTTATATTTAATTTCCTAATCTAATAATATACACGTACGAGTACTTAAGTTAGGCACATATAATTCTAAATTATAAGATAATAATGTTTTCATTTAAATATTTCTTTTAAATTAATTTACATTGTCGGTTTATTTATTTTTTTTTATAAATAATAAAATATTAACTGGCAATGTATAATCTTGATGCACTTGAAAATGTTAAATTTCAAATAATTGAAATCTTGAAATTGTTTTTTTTTTTTTTCTTTTTTGGTCACAATTCAAATTTTTTCTGACATTTAGAATTTAGAAAAATTATAATTTGAAAATGTATCTTTTGATATTAATTAAAATTAATGAAAAATTTTTAAATTAATTTTACTTTGTGAAAAACATTTTTGATTCAATAAATTTAAAAAATTAGATAAGATTTCGATTAATTGAATATCTAATAATTCCAGTTCATTAGTCTTGAATATACAGCCGTGAGCATTGTTCAGTTTAGCCTTTCTTAAATACATACGTGTGCGATTACAAAAGTGGAAAATATTTTTCTTTTTTCTTTTTTAACATTCTCTTTCATACAAAATATACATGAAGTGAAATATAAATAACATATGTTGTTAGATGAAAAAAAAAAAAATTTATCATCTAGAAAAAATTTCTTTTTTTTTACATTGAGATTCGTTTTTTTTTTTTTAAATTATTGAGCTTTCGTATTTTAAAACTAGAGATTTCTTTTTTTTGAAATTGCAACTCCCTTCGATGACAATTTTTTTTAAATCTGGAAAATTTTTTAATTATTGAAGTAAACGAAAATTGGAAGTCTAATTTAAAATACTGGCTAGTTAAAAAAAATATGACTTTCTTTCTCAATATTTAAGTCTTTAAACAATTTCATTCTCGAAATTGCTCTAATTTCACAATATTTCAATCCCGTAGAAAAATTGAAATTTACATTACTGTATATAAATAAATAAAAAATTAATATTTTTTTTCTATACTTTTTCTTTCGATTAAAAGAATTTTTCTCTATTTCTAGTTTTTTTAAAAGTGAAGAAATTTAAATATTTTTTATTTACTATTTGAGAAATGAAATTTTTTTTTTTTTTTATTTCAAATTAAAAAAACTGTTATTATGTTTGATGTAAATTACTATTTTATTGAAATTGTGAAATTAGAGTTGATCGAAAATTTTTTTTTTGATTGTAACACCTTTGAGAGATGTGAGATTTTTTTTAATCGTCTACTTCATTGAACATCGATCTCACAGGGTCTCTTCCATTATTCGCATTATTTCCATTTAAAGGGGCAACTTTATTCTTTCCAGGCATAAATCCATTTGATAAATGAACGCCACCGTTTTGAAGTCCTTTCACAATTCCATTCTTCTTTAATAAACCATTTTGAAGAATTGGCTCGTCGATTAATACTCCTTTGGCTATACTGGAACCACCTAAAAAAAAATTTTTTCACTTTTTAATATTAGATATTAAATTCGCATAATTTTAGAGTGCATGAATTTCTCATAAAAATCATTAATTACAATTTTTATTTTAAAGAATTTTATTCTAAATAATTATTTTTTAACCGAATTTTCAATTTTCGAATTAAAATTTGACACATTTTCTTTTTATTACAAATTTTCACACAACAAAATTTTGAGCTACCGAATTTTTATTTTACAGTCATTTAATTTACTTTATTTAATTACAAATTCGATTTAAATTTAAAATTCGTCTAAAAAATAATTATATTTCTAATAAAATTCTTTAAAATGAAAATTCTAATCACTGACTTCTTTTTTTTGGGTTAATAATGCGCCCCTTTAGAGAAAGAAACCTTTAAATTGAAAATATTAAATAAATTCTTTTCGTCAAGTAGTTTTTTTTTTTTTTGTAATTAATATATAGTAAATATAAATAATTTAAGGAGAAATAAATAAATATTAATTAATTGAATATTTAATTGTAATTTTGTCTGCAAGTTTTACGTTTGTCTGACTTTTATTTAAAGAACTTACCATTTAATTGATTTTCTATTTGCTTGACGATTCCATTTGGTATCCGTTGTATTCCATTTTGATATGATTCAATTGTTTGGCCCCCGTTGATGTTACCGGGGGCCATCGAGTTTGGGTGTTCTGAATTTTGAACACCTGAATCTTGATCCTGATTATTTCCATCAGCGCTGTTTTCCTCTTTTCTTCGAACCCATTTCATTAATTGATAAAGTGCATTCGCAAATTCGAGCTGAACATTCTCCACATCAGTGTCACCATCAATCTAAATAATCGAAAAATTCCATTAATAAAATAATAATAATAATTATACTATAGAAAGCAAAGAATTTAAATTATATAATTTTTTATTTAAATTTTATAATATTTATGTAATTTAATTAGAATAATTATAGTTAATAAATAATTTAAAAATTTATTTCAAATTAATTCACAAAAATTGATACTGTAAAAAATAGAATGAATAATAAAAGTATATATATATATATAGAGAGAGAGAGAGAGAAAAAAAAGAAGAAAATATTAAATATCGATTAATGAAAATATTTTTTTTTTTTTATTCTTACCATTGTGAGTCGTTTGTTGTTATCAATTTTCTTAAGCATAGGAAGTGTCATTTCCCTAAACAACGCCAATCTTCTTCGAAATGCTGGAATTGTTCCATCCAATCTACCCCTACCAAATTGTAATTTGGAGCAATCTAATAAAACTAATGGAGGCGCCTGGCCAAACTGCAATGAATAATTTTTATTTTTCAATTTATTATCCCACTTTATTAGAAATTTCTACTTTTATTATATAAATATATAATAAACGTTTCTTTTCTAATTAATTCAATTATAATATATAAATAATCGCATTTTTTTTTTGCAATTACATTTTCGATTTTTTTTTTTTTAAGTATTAATTGAGGCAAGTTTTTATGATTGATTTTTTAATTTAAAAAATCTATATATATATGATTAATTGTTCAGAACAATAAAAAAGTATATAAAAAAATTGTCGATAAAAAATAATAGAAATTGTAAATGAAGTTGAATTTTAAAAGTATATATTAACAGTAAAATTGAAACCGCAATAAAAAATTCAAGTTATTTAGAGGTGACAATTTTTTTTTCTCGTCATATTTTTAGAATCTAAAAACATATTCTATATATATGATAAAAAATTGAAACAAATAATTTTGTACCATTTTACAAAACTTTAAAAAATTTTTTTAAAAAAATTAAAATTTTTAAAAATCCTTACAATTGGTTGATTTGAATCATGAAAAAAATTTTTTTTTTCAAAATTGGCAGTGAAAAGTAATTAAAATTGTAAGATAAGTTAAAATTTCAAGTTCTAGGTATTTAAAAAATTATTAACTGATTTATACTAGTTTTTTTTTAAAATTTTTCGTAAAATATTATATTTTTAAATATTCAATATTATTAGAAAATTAATTGACATTTCTAAAAAGCATAATATTTCGATAGGTTAGAATTTTGAGGTTGAAACATTAAAAATTTTTTTTTTTTAATTGTGTATTTTTACGTGAACTTTTTGAAAATTCAAGAAAAATAATTTACTATATTTTTTGTAATTTTAAGATTAAATCCTACAAATTTTTTTTTGAAATTTAAAAAAAAAAAACTACTTTATTATACAAAAATTTTAAGCCTGGTACGGTCGTGGGTAAACAATTATTTCAATATTTTCAAAAAAATTTTAAATTTCCGAAATTTTGAATTTTTTTAAAAATACCACCTACAGTTTTTTTTGTACTACGTACATTTTTGTTTTATAATACTCTAATTACAAAAATCATAATGAAAAAAAATTTTTTAGAGCATTTTTTTTCTTCAAAAAAGACTGTTTTTTTTTTTTTTATTTAAATTTGTTTCCCTTTTTAAAATACATTTTAATAAATACAAAAATTAAATTACTTGAATCGAAATGGATTGATTTATATAAACTATAAATTTCATTAAAAATTATAGAATTAGGTAATCGATATTTTTTGTTTTTGAAAATTTTTTTTTTAATCTATAAGAAATGTAAGTATATTTAACAAGAAATTTTTATAATTAATAACTATTTTTCATTCTTTTATAGAAAGTAATTTTTTTTCCTTTAACTTCTAAAATTATATAATAATTAGAAACGCGAATTAAATAGTAAATAATTTTTTTTTATTGATGATAATGAAGCAATGATACGATCATAATCACCCTCGTTTATTATTATAATATTAGAATTATAATAATACCTTATTTTCAAATTCATCGACTTGGGAAAAATTTCTTGGAAATCCACTAAGAATAATTCCATCTGTATCTCGATTTAAAAGTACTTGTTGCTCAACGAGTTGCATGACAATGTCTTGTGGGACCATTTCACCAGCAATAATTGCATCATGAATCGTCACATTAGTTGATGTCATTGATCTTAATATATCACCAACACTAACGTGAACCCATCCTGGCATATTTCGAAGTGCTTGATTACATAAAGTTGCTTTATTACTCCCTGGACCACCTGAAATATTTTCATTTCATTAATTAATCTTTTTTTTTTTTTTTTTTTTTTTTTTTTTGGTAAAATTAAAATTTTTACCAAAAACTCTATGTACTTTTAAAATATAACTTCAATGAACATTTTTTAGTTCATTGAAATTTATATAGTAATCCGAATTTTTATTTAAAAAACTTTGTAGGAAATTTAAAAAAAAAAGTAGAGAATTAAAGTTAAAATTTAGAAAAATATATAAAATAATCAAAAAAGTACAATTCTTGTAGACGAAAAATCTCTAAATCAATGTAATTAAATTCCCAAAATAATTTAATATAAAACAATTTTACAAAAAATAATTAACAATAGATAATTAATTTTACAAGAATTGAATTTTACCAAAGAATTCAAATTTGAGAATTGAATTTTTCAAATTAAATTACAAAAATTCTAATTGCTAAATATGATTGAATATTTAATGAATTTATTTTTTTAGATGATTGAATTTTTAATTTGAAAGAATAATGTATAAATATTTTGTTTATATATTTAATTTATAATTAATTTTTTAAATATTTTTATTTATTATTTATTATTTATTATGTTCAAAATAAAATTGTATTTGTAATTTGTTGAAAATTTAATTGAGAAAATAATCTAATTTCAATTAATATACAACAATTGAAAAATAATCTTAATTAAATTACAAATATTAAAAATATATTTAAATAAAAATTTTATAATTATATAAATTACTTAACAAATGAAAATAAATTAACAATGCAATAAAAAAAAATTTACTCACCAATAACCCAAATAAAAGCAGGAAGACCTTTTCGCTGATGGTTTGCTGTTTTCGCTGGTTTAATAATCGGTAACACTGGAGATGCAGGCGTTTCATTTGGATCTAATTCATTTTGTTCTTCAGAAGGTGCAGTTGGTTCATATGGATCATCATCTGTTCTTTCAACTTCCACCTGATAAACAAAAGCGGAACGTTAAAAAAAATTATTTCTCAATTTTTTTTTTACATTTTATCTAAATTTCTAATATTCGCATATACTGAAGAAAAATCAAAAGTAAAATAATTAATATTTTTTGTTTGTATTAATGAAATAAACAATTAATTAATTCTACTTATTGAATAAATAATTAATCAGACTGTATAGTTTATTAATTTCACTTTTTGGGTTTATTTTTTATGTAACTAAATTATTTATTACTTCGGCTTGCATTGCACGAGGATTTTGATTATCTTCATCTGAGGACATTCCAAGAATTCTCAAAACGGCATCTCGAAAATCTATATAAACTTCATTTGGATCACGTTCTCCATCGATCTATCAAAAATTCAATGAAATTATTTTTTTAAAACTTTAAATAATAAATTAATTTTATAATTATTTACATTTTTAACATTAATTTTGTTACAATAAAAAAATGTTATAACAGAAATTTCATGGAGTATTAGTTTTTTTTTTTATTAATCAAAAATATATTTTTTTCTAAAAAAAAAAGCAAATACCTCCATTAACATTCCATTTTGATCGAAATATTCCGCAACTGGCATGACGCTTCGGTAAAAATTTTTCAATTCCATTCTTGCTAAACCAAGAACAATGTGGCCCAATTTTGCACCAAAATCAATTTGCCTTTCAAGAACCTCTTGCTTCCACGAGATGAGAATAACGCCATTAACAATTTGAATCTGTAAAATTAGAAATTTATTAAATTAATAAGTTTATAAATAATAAATATCTAATTTATAAAAATAACAATAATTCCGTACGGAGTTCTGGATCATGTATATTGGGCAAATTCATATTTTTTCGTTTAAGAGGAAATTTTTTCTAAAACTTAAGGAAAAATTGCTCTTTTATCAGATTTTCTATTAAAATTTTGATAATAAACTATTCAGTATACAACATTTTCTCCTTCAAAATTTTCTATTGAAAATTTTACCTAAGATAAAAATATTATATTGACTATTTTCAAAAATATTGATATATTTTTTTCATATAGTTTTTCATATTATAGTTAAAGCTCTGTATAAAAAAATGTTGATGATAGCGTTTTTTAGTATAGTAGCCCCGGTTATTGACGGTAAATTATATAGTTCTACTAGAATTCTAATTAGTGTGTGCTTAATAATACAAATTATTAATTTATAAGCGAAAAAAAAATTAATTCTTTCATAATTAAAAGAGACGCATGATTAAACCCCAAATTTGTTTTTTCGAATTTTTATTTTCTCGAAAATTGTTTTATCTAAAAGGAATTGACTATAATTTTTTCAATTCGAATCGTCAGATTATATAATAAAAATAGTTTCGAATTATTATTTGACAGAATTTTTTAACTTCGAGAGAACATTTTTTTATAATTTCCAATTTATCGAATAATCATTTCTCATAATTATATTATTGTAGCGAATTAGTATTTTTTGTAATTTTTATTTTTCCAAAAAAAGTTTATACTATTTTTGATTTTACATAATTATCATTTCTTATAATTTTTTTTTCTTCGAATTACCATTTTGTATAATAAATATTTTTTCGAACAATTATTTGTTCTAAAATGTATAATTTATCAAATTTCAATTTCTTCTATTTTTAAAAGTTACGATTTGCTATTTTATATAATTTTCATTTTACCGAATTCCAATTTCACATAATTTGTAAATTTTCTAATTATTATTTTTCCGAATTTTAATTTTAACACATTTTTAATAGGGTCAGCCGGGGTAAATCCGAACGCTAATTATTTCAGCTTAATTAAAATTTTTAAAAATAAGTTCGATATGAGAATTTTTACCTCAGATCCTCTTCAAGAGATTCTAAGTATTATCCTATTTTTCGTTTGTTAATTAGCAACAGCATAAACAAAGATAACGAGTATTGCAAAAAAGATTAAAAATCAAAGATGACACTCTTTCAGTATTTTGTCTCGTATTTGAAGAAAAAGAAGCTAAAAATTTATTTTATTATTTATAATTGTTTGTTATGAATACTAGAACAGAAACTATTTTTGATTTTTGCCTTCTGTAAAATTTTATTAATAATATCAAACCGTTCGTATTTACCCAGGAAAATTGGAAAACCGGGGTAAATCCGAACGGTATTTTCAATAATTTTTTTTTACATCAGAGCCACACAAAATTGTTTTTATTTCATTACACTATTATTTTAACATTATAAAAGTACATAGAAAAAAGTTTTTCTTTCTATACGTATCCTCGTTAGTAATTAATAAGCAGAAACTTAATCTCTGTTCTCTCGAAGGAGTGTTTCAATTTTTTTGCCAAATGGTTTGTTGAAAAAAGTTTTTCAGGATCTTAATAAAATTTGGTATTCTACGGTTTTTGGGGTCGCTAATTACCAATTTGAAGTCAGTTTTTCAAAATTCAAAATGGCGGACGAGAATTAAAAAATTCATTGGATTCGCTCGAAAATTGTTACTCGGGGGGTTTCAGGGTCGCTGATTACGAATTTGGAGTTAGCAAATTTGATCATTTTTAAAAATAAGTTTTAGGAAAGTCCGACATTTGGAATTTAAAAAATTTGACTTTTATTTTTGTATTTACATTCAATCACTCCAAAATACTTTCTGTACCAAGTTTTGCAAAAATCCGTTATGATTTGATAAAGTTATTGAAGGTTTTAATTGTGTAATGCATTTTAATTTTTAACCAGTTTGATTTTTGTATTTATATATGATGCATTATTACATAATAGGTTTATTATCGTATTTTTTTGAGTTTTTATATAAGTTTAACAATTGCAATACTTTAAATTTATTTTCCCTAAGATTTTTCTGAAATACAGTGGCGTTCGTATTTACCCCGGTATTTTAGGAAAGTTGCAAAGTATCGAGGTAAATACGAACGCTAAGTTTCCTGCGATTGTAATTTATCAAAAATTTTTGCTACCCCATAAAATTGTTTTATGGAAGTAAAGTAACAACTTCATGCACCAGAATACAGGAAGTATTTTTTTTTTTTAAGAAAAAACTTATGTTATTGTTGAAACTTACTAAAAGCGTTCGGATTTACCCCGGTTGACCCTATTAGAAAATTATTTCTTTTGCGAATTACCATTTAACATATAATTTTAATTTCCTCTAAATTAGGGACGCATGATTATTCCCTAAATTTCAATTTCATAATTTTCAAGACATCGAAATTCTTATATTATCGAAATGTCATTTCACCTAATTTTTATATTTCGAAATAACGTTTAATATAATTTTTATTTTTTTCGAATAATCATTTATTCTAATTTTTAAATAATCAAATTACCTTTTAACATAATTTTTATTTTGACGAAAGACCATTGATTACCAGTTTTAAATGTTCGAATTTTAATTATCTAGATTTTTCATCTAATCACATTTCCATTTCGTAGAATTTTTATTGCTTCGAAATATTATTTTACATAAATTTCAATTTTCTTAACTTTATTCGTTATAATTGTTATTTTTTTAAAATCCACATAACCTAAAATTCACTGACACTATTTGCTATTTGACATAATTCACAAAACACAGAAAAATTTAAATGTCCTAAATTTTGTCCTCTTTTTCGAATTTTCAAATAAGATATGATCCAATCAACAGAAATTTCATTTCACCTAAAATATAACGTCTTAGTTTTTAAGCAGTTATTTACTATCTATGTGTTTTATATTATTTTGATTAAAATTTTCGGTAAAGAAGATGCAGATTCTACATAAACAAAAAAATTCTTTATCTACTTTACCGACAATTTAAATCAAAATATATAAAACACATAGATGGTAAATAATTGCTTAAAAACTAAGACGTGATATTTTAGTTGAAATGAAATTTCTGTTGATTGGATCATATGTTAATTGAAAATTCAAAAAAGAGGGAACTTATGTACAGTGACTATTATAAGCAATAAAGAGTTTTAAAAATTATATATATCGGTAAAACAAAATTTAGGACATTTAAATTTTCTGTGTTTTGTGAATTATGTCAAATAGCAAATAGTGTCAGCGAATTTTAGGTTATGTGGATTTAAAAAAAATAACATTATATAACGAATAAAGTTTAGAAAATTGAAATTTATGTAAAATAATATTTCGAAGCAATAAAAATTTTACTATACCCAAGAAGCACGTAATATAACCTCAATATCAAGGTAATATTACATGTAAGATTCGTAATATAACGTTGTAATATTACAGTAATCTTACAGTGATCTTAAAATGTCCGCCTCAAGGTAATATTACCGGTAATGTTACTGTAATATTACGCGCTAATATTAAGGTAATATTACAGTAATATTATACCGTAATATTAAGGTAATATTACAGTAATATTATGGGAACATTTCTTTACGAAAAATATCTACCCATCCAGGGAATCGAACCCCGAACTCAAAACACACGAGTCCAGAGTTTTACCAACAAGCCAAATTGACTTATAATATATTTACGTTTTTTATGCTTTATGAATAACTCAAATCAGTCTGTAATATTACTGTAATATTACCGTTAATATTACAGTAATATTCCCGGTAATATTACCGTTAATATTACAGTAATATTCCCGGTAATATTACCTTGAGGCGGACATTTTAAGATCACTGTAAGATTACTGTAATATTACAGCGTTATATTACGAATCTCACGTGTAACATTACCTTGATATTGAGGATATATTACGTGTTTCTTGGGTAAATGGAAATGTGATTAGATGAAAAATCTAGATAATTAAAATTCGAACATTTAAAACTGCTAACCAATGGTCATTCGTCAAAATAAAAATTATGTTAAAAGGTAATTTGCGATTATTTAAAAATTAGAATAAATGATTATTCAAAAAAAAATAAAAATTATGCGTTAAACGTTATTTCGAAATATATAAATATATTATTTAAATTATTATAAATATATAAAAATGATGCTGGTAAAATAATGTCTATTAATTTTTTGATACTTAATATATTATGCTTGAAGCCAATTAGACATTGAACCGCCTGTACACGCGCTCATATAAGTTAACAGGAATCGTTAATATTTTTGAGAATAATAAATATATATGTCCCCCTTCCAAAATGAACATTGAAGTAGGTCACCGGGACGAGCAAATATTCATATAAATATAACTATATATGTTGCTCGTTAATATATATCGTTATTTTCACCTTTACAATACTATATACAATCCCCCAACTGATACTTGATGTACCGCGCGCGAGGAGGGTACAAACGTTGAACACGTGTTTAATATTCTATATCGATTATAATTTTTATGTCTTGTCAGGTTTAAGGAGTCATTCAATTCAATTTCATATATATATATATATAGGTACGCTTAAAAGGTTTATACAAAACAAAAAGTAAAAATTTGGTGAGTTAATAGTTTTTTTAATAACAGCGTTTTTTAAAAAAATTGAAAATTTTAAAGTTACAAAATCACATCGTGAACCTCCTATTTTTAATAATTAATATTTTAAATGGAATAAAATTTTTATCATAATATTATGGTTAATGAACTCAGGGAATCATCGAGTTTTACATATACCTATTAAAATTAGATTTTTCAAAAATTTGGTCGCAACCACCAACCACATAGTACGACTTTTTGCTGTGAGGTTTCTGTAAGGATATCTGCAGGGTTTGTAAGGTTACCGTGTAAGCCTACAGTAAACTTGAGGTCATTTTAAAACTTCCGCCATTACAGTAAGCTTACACAGTAAGGTCATGGTAAGTTTACATGGTAAGGTTGTGGTATGCTTACACGATAAGGTTATTGTAAGCTTCCCATAAGGTTGCTGTAAGGTTACTGTAAGGTTACTGTAAACATAGAGTAATAAGAAAATATATTAAAAATAATTATATTATAAATTTTTTTTTAATAAAAAATTATATATATTTGGTAAAGTACTTCATGCACCGTTAAATAAAATTTACTGCGCAGCCTTATGTGTCATAGAAAACTACTGCGCATAAATATTAATAAAATTTATTTATTAATAACATTCTATGTATACAGTAACCTTACAGCAACCTTACAGTAACCTTACGGGAAGCTCACAACAACCTTACCGTGTAAGCTTACCACAATCTCACCATGTAAACTTACCACGACCTTACTGTGTAAGCTTACTGTAATGGCGGAAGTTTTAAGATATGACCTCAAGTTTACTGTAAGCTTACACGGTAACCTTACAAACCCTACAGATATCCTTACAGTAACTTCACAGCAAGAAGTCGTGCTATGTGGGCAGTAGACGAAAGTCAGTGGACTGACCCTACTACATTATATTAATAAATTGATAAACTGTGGTAAAAAAATTGATCTAAAACCTTAATTTATTAATATAATTGAATCCACATAAATAATAACATAAATAATAATAATAATAATAATAATAATAAAATTAATTATAATAATCATTATTATTAATAATAATGATAATGATAATAAAAATAATAATATTAATAATTATTATTATCCATATTTATGTTATTAATATACTAACTCCATTGTACCTGCGCATTATCAAAATTCTACTTGATTGAAAATGTCATTCTCTAGAATATATAGATTGAGGTGGTCTTATATTCTTTGGTTTCCCTTGGCATAAATTAATTTTTGATCGACCTCCCTATCAATGCCAATAGATTATTTTCACACACCAGTTGCTTAAGAAATATTACACAGATTAATAATGACACAATTGAACAGCCTGCGACCAAAAGGGCGAGGTTTTCATTGGCCCCTGGAATAGCTGGAATGCGGTAATTTATAGAAATTTGTCTAACATTCATAAAAATATGTAAAACATAAATCACAATTAAAAATTTTAATTTTGGTAATTTACGGAAATTTCCGCGGTAATTTATGGAAATTTTCGCGGTAACTTACAAAAATATATACAGCGCGAACGACTATTAAAAATTTTTATTTCAGTAATTTATGGAAATTTTCGCGGTAGTTTACAAAAAAATAAATAGCGCGAACGACAATTCAAAATTTTTAATTTGGTAATTTATGGAAATTTATGTGGTAATTTATGAACATTTATGTAATTATTTATTACTTATCTAAAGTTCAATGTTTAAAACAAATTTTTTTGCTTCACATTTTTTATGTGCACTTATAGACATTCGAGTGATACACGCCGTTCAATGGAGAAAAAGCCGTAACAATAATTAACAATTTTCAATCTGTTTCATATGCATGTTATTTATATTCACTGAACTAATACTACTACACTTCAGTTGACATAAAATATAAATAATTATTAATTTTATTGAGAAATATTTGAAGGCCCGACCATGACGATTCTGTGATTCCCTATGCACATTTGATGCTTTTAATGTGTGAAAAACAAAAAAATTAATTCTGAAAGCAGTTTCTCTCTTAGTAATTCACTTAGGAGAGCTTAATGTTGCTTTTAACTAATGGTGAGTGAAGATTCGATTTTATTTTTATGTAAAAAAATGCTATTTTATAAAAAGGCCAGACCATGACGCAAAAACGAGGGACAAGAATTAACACCAAAAAAATAAAAAAAAAATTTTTTTTTCACAATTCTACTAACATAAACAATATGAAACTATCAATAGTTTTTATATTGATTACTGTATTTTACTAAAAATAACATTTTTTTATATAAAAGTGGTACTGGGGACACACGGAAAAAATTAATTCAGTAGATTTTACAGAACTATCACGGAGTAGCGGATACAGTTCTTTACGAAACTGAGTGTTGTTAAATGTCACTAAATATTCAGGATAAACTTAAGAAATATTCAGTATAAACAATGAAATTTCTGTAGTTTATCCGAAAATATCCATCACATTTTACAAAACTCTGTTTCGTAAAGAGCTGTATCCGTTACTCCGTCACAGTTTTGTAAAATATACTGAATTAATTTTTTCCGTGCAGGTCATACCATGACTTTTTGGCACCTTAAAACAGCTTTTTAAGTAAAATTATAAACTTTTAATTAAAAACGACTATGGGCTTTTGTTTGTAAACATAGAAATTAGTTTTTCCCATTGGATTTATTGCAATATGTGCAATTGATTTTTTAAAAAATACTATGGACATTAAGTTGTGCGCTACGCGGAGAATCACCCATATATATACTATGTATCTACCTATATGTATATATAAACGTATATATATATGATTAGTCTGAAACTATGTATGTATTTGGAAATTTGTTCGATATTAAAGAAATCTAGAACATCTCATTTATTCTTGATAAATTTTTAAAAATACAATGTAAGTCAAGTCAATTGACGTTAGACACATTTTAGCACGCAGCTGTGGATTTAACACGTAAAAAATTAAGTTTTCTCATTTTTTATCGTATATTTAAAAATTATTGTTATATATTGAACTTTTTTTATAACAATATAAAAACAAAATTTTGTAAACTCTGATTAACTAATCTTCATAGCATATCAAATTGTTATTTAAAATAAATTTTACCTAATCGAATTTCAATAACTTATAATTAACATTACATCTAATTTTTGTTTAATCGAATTTTCCCGCTACATAATTGTCACGTGTCCGAATCGTTTGTCGTCGAATTATAAAAGTGCAAAAATTTGTAGCTGAATGAGTTTCCTATCTATGTCATTTATGGTTAATATTAGTATATCCAATAATGTAGATTTTAAATTACATACATTTCTTAATCTACTTTACAGGCTCTACTAATATTAAACATAGATGTCATAGATAGAAAGCTCATTCAGCTGCAAATTTTCGCACTTTTATAATTCGACGACAAACGATTCGGACACGTGACAATTATGAGGCGCGAAAATTTGATTAATCAAAAATTAGATGTAATGTAAATTATAAGTTATTGAAATTCGATTAGGTAAAATTTATTTTAAATAAAAATTTGATGCTATGAAGATTAGTTGCAATGCATATTCGACGAAATTTTATTTACTTTAATTTACGCAATTAGTGATTTTAATATTTAGGTTAGAATTAAATTCGAAAATAAAGAAATTATGATAAGTAATAATTAGAACACATTTTATTTATAACGAATAAGAAATATGAAAAATGACATTTAGGTTATCTTATAAATCGGATAAATAAAAATTAGAGAACTTTTCATTATCTACACGCCATTTGTCATAATTCTCGTCAACTAGTGCACCCTGCTCTAGTGAAAATTAACTAACTTTATAGTAACTTTTAATTTTAACTAAAATGTCACTAAATTTTAACTAAAGTAGGGTGCGGTAGTTGACGAGAATTATGACAAATGGCGAGTGTGGACAATGGCAACCCCCTAAATGCCAAACTCAGTTAAAAATTTTTAAGGCTGTTCTACAATACTCTCTTTACATCGGTAATTTCAATTTAATACTTCTTCAGAAAATAAAATTACGTAAGTCATGATTTCATGACTTCATGACCATGATTTCATGGTAAATTTGTCCTGATTAATTTTATTACCCACAATCAGTCAGATTGTAGACTTACTAATGAGGTTTGAGAATTTCGTTTCAGTATTATAAAGGACGAAGCAGAATAGATTGGCAAGTCCAAATTGTGAAATGTAAACAAACCGAAAATGTAAGCAATTATTGTCTAATTTATGGTCACCTTTTTTTAAATACAAAATACAAATCTTTCTTTCTCTATGCAAAAATGAAAAATTGATACATTAAACTACAGAATGACCATATCTTATTTCACTAATAACATGAATGAATTTTTTTTTAAATTAAGGTTAAAATTCAAAATTTACAGTATGTAAAAAGCGGGAACACTAAAAAAAGAGTAAAACCAAAAAAATTAAATCAAATTGTCTGAAACTCATTACTCAGGGGTTTTTAGGGTCACTGATGATTACGAATTTAATTCCAATTTTCAAACATTCATTTCAACTTTAACCTCAATAAACAAAAAAATCTGTCTATTTTTTTTTTTTTGGATTTTGCCATAAGACTTTTTTATTTGGGATTAAAAAAACAACAATTTCCCAAAGTTTAGTCAAAATTAGACAGGGATCCATTTTCTGTATATTTTGTGCGGGGTTCTTTAAGTGTGGAAAAAGAAAAGAGAAACTTACTTTTTCCGAATATTCAACGATGTCGCGCATATTTCTTGGATATCCACTAACAAGAAAAGTTTTGGCCTCTGGAGACATTTTCATTTCAAGCATAAGAACTTCTGTGACAGTTTTACTACTTAGTGAACCAAAATCTTCCATATCTGTGAAAAAAAAATCAAACAAATTTTGCTTATTTTTCTTTGTAAATTGTAACAGATTTTAAAATGCTAAAAAAATTATGATTATTTTTTGGATAAAAACAGAAAAGTAATGTTAGCATTTTTTTTTCTTTTTTTAAAAGAGTTTAAACGAACAAAAGGAGTACATCAAAATCGTGATATCATTGATTTTAATGAAACTTACAACAATGATAGACCTTGATATTATATGAATTTAATTTTCAAGTGAAAAGACCCACTATGTTATGTGTATCAAGAATGTGAATATATATATTTACATTCTTTTAAAAAATGAAAAAAATTTAACATTTAACATTAAAAAAAAAAGTATTGGAGAGATAAGATTTGATCCCTAGGCGTTAAAAATTGCTGTCAGTTACCTTACCAACTGCTCTTTTACCGTTAATCTAATCCTGAGTCATCAATTATACGGATTTTTTCTAAATTGTGGTCTTTGAACTTCCACTACTATGTTATAATATTATTATGGTTTTAATTTTCATCAAAATCGATTATGTCACGTTGGTGAGGTCCCCTTGTAAGTTATTAATTATAGTGTAACCTATAATTGTACCTGCTGTATCATTAGAATAATTTAGGGTATGTTCGAAGGGATTAATTTTATTTTTGTTTTTTCCTGAAAGGGGCCATCCATAAACTGTGACCCATTTTTGAAATTTTAACCCATTCACCCATGTATAGTACGTTGTTCAATTCATTAGCGCCATTTTTTCTTCTTATATATCTTTTCTCCCTCCCCCTTAAGGGTATGTGGGAACCTTCCACGTGACCTAGTATATGGAAAAATGTGTTTTGGTAGTCTAAAATTTTGAGGGATGATAGATTAGGGTACAAGGAATCTCGCTGTTCTCCGAAAAATACATAATTTTTAGTTTAATTATTAAAAAATGATGTTTAAAAAGTTTAATTTTTAAACGAAAATGAAAATAAACATGGTGGCGTATACACAGACGTTGCTTGAGTGTGTCAGTGCTCCAGTAAACAGCGCCAATTCGAGCAAGTGGCCAATAAATGAACTACAACTAAATACATTATTTTACTATTTATTGCTTTATTTTTTATTATTTTCGCGTTAAGTTATAGTAAATGAAAAGAATAGCGAGATTTCTTGTACCAAACTAAATCATTTTTCCAAAATTTTAACCCAAAATCATTTTTTATTTCAGAGAAAGTTTTAAACCACAAAAAAATGTCATTCGCCCACATACCCTTAATGTCAAGTAGTTTATGGATGTACCCTAAGAAACTCAAATTAATATCCGACTCGTTATTTTATAGCGACACTTTAAAATAATTTTTTAAATCTTAATAAATGTACTTTTTTTAAAAAAATGTTTTCTAATGAAAAAAATAATAACATTACGTCAACTATCTTGAAAGTGTATGTTATTCTTCTTTCTTTTATATAAAAATGTCTATACACACGAGGCTTTATACTCTTAGAAATTATGTATTTTGTTGTATGGTCTTTACACACTGATTCATATGCATATATTATGTGTATACCTAGTGAGAAAAAATAACTGTATCATTATTGATTTGAATATGTAATCGATTCTATAAACCTTTCAAAATGGATTTATTCTTTACTGAAGATTTGTTCATTTATCTACTCGCACATATACAGAGTGATGTTTACTTATAGACAATTTCATGTGAAATTTAAGTCGATCTCTTAAATTCGGTTTAATACCTACTATACTTTTTTTCTATTCTTTACAGAAAAAAGAGATACGTATTTCTTTTTTTTAATAAACAAATTAATTTTATTTAATTTGGATACGATTTTGTTTTTATTTTTTTCTTTTATAAAATGTACTTGGAAACCTTAAGAAGATTGTTTAAATAAAAGATTTTTTTATCTCTATTTTTTTCTAATTTTTCAAGTAAAAATTTATTGCAAATTAATTTTCCATGAGTAAAAGTAAATGATTCTGACAAAAAAAACTTTAAAAATTTATGTAAAAGCTTCTTACTATCTTACTGTTTGCAAATACATTTTAATATAACAATTTTTTTAAAAAATCGTATCTAAATTTAAAAAAAAAATTTGTTTATAAAAAATGGCTATTTTTTTAAAAAAATAAAAAAAAAATTTTTTTTGCAACACTAACCTCTAAAGTTAAATTTTACACACCAAAAAGTGTGTGTAAAGAAGCTCTTTTTAAAACGGTGTGTAAAGTGATTCACTTTACGCACTGAGATTTACTTTACGCACCGAAATTTTTCTCACATAATATGAGGATTGTTTTAGACCATACAAAACCACAAAATTAAAGAAAGAATTTTACTTTTATATTTATACACTACTGCTTAATGATATTTTTCCTGATCTTAGATTGATGTTTTTAATTCTATACAATCGAAATTATTCTGATATATAAGAAAAAAAATTTTGAAAATTTATAATTCGAAAATTTGTCACTTTTTAAAAAACAAAGAAATACGAATACCTTTTTTTCTCTAAATAATAGGACAAAAAAAAAATTATTAAACCGAATTTAAAAGGTCGACTTAAATTTCACGTGAAATCGTCCTTATACAAAAATATATAGGTATACATGTATAGAAAAAAATTTAATAAAAATATTTTCTTTTTTAAAAAAATTTCAATCTTACAACAATTGTGATCTAAATTATTTTTTTGAATATTTCTAATGTTAAATAATGGATATAGAGAAAAAATTTTATTTACATATATATATATATATATATACGGAGAGAAATAGATGGTAAGAACTTATAATCGTAAGATGGTAAAAAGTAGATGTTATCCGGTACCATCATTATGCTACTCGGTACTATCAAAGATGTTACAAAAAATATGGTTATGTTACCCACTACAATCAAGATGTAACATTGTACAATCTGGATAGTAACTGATAGAATCTAGATTGCTGTCCGTATATGTAAGATCAAATATGGTACCTGGTACTATCTAGATAGTACCCCGTACCATCTATTTCTCTCCGTGTACAAATTCAACTTACTATTTCCTATGACATATTGCTGCAACAGATCCGTCATATTGATGTGAATAACTCCTTTCCTCTCTGCCATTAAAGTATCACAATGTGTCACCTTCCCGCTGCCAGGACCCCCTACAAAATTTAAAATCATTATCATTATTGGAAAGATAAGGAGACAAAACTTCGACGATATATTTCATTTTTATATAGGGGAGAGTGATAAACAGTAGGACACTTTAATTTTCTGAAAAACTACTTAAAGAAACTCGACCAAAATTTAAATGTAAAATTTAACCGACCATCGGCCCGACTTAACCGACTATTAAGAAGTGGGTTTCTTATTAATATTTTGGCTGCCACAGTTTTATTAATCATCTTTTTGTTTAAAGTATATCCCAACTGGGATATTGCTAAATCACAAGTCATGTCAACCGACGATCCCATAGTCGGCCCAACTAGGGCGAATAAGGTTGGCCCAACTGTGGCTGTCGACCGTCATGCCAAATGGTCGGCCCAACTATGGCGGCCGACCGAAATTCGCACCTGGGACACTATCTCCAAAAATTTTAGCCACATTGATTCATTATTTACAAAGAAACTTGAAAAAAACTGTTTTTGACGTACCAGAGTAAATTTTTTCTTGAAATACAATGCTGATTTTTATATAGATAGGACAGTTTTAAAAAAAGTGTAATTGTTACTTCGTTTACTCATGTTTTTAAGTATAATATCCAATAGGGTTAGTCTACTGACTTTCGTCTAATAGTGGTTGCGACCAAATTTTAAAAAAATCTAGTTTTAATATATGTGAAACTCGATGATTCCCTGAGTTCGTTAACCATAATATTATGGTAAAAATTTTATTCCCTTTAAGGAAGTTCTCTCCCTCCAACGTCAGTCAAATCAATGACCATTTAAGTTTTCATTTGTATCACGTATTACTAGCTCAACGCTTGGCAACGTTGGATTATATTTCCCCCGTTCCGTTTCGTGTCGTCTGCTATTGTTTGATTTATTTTCGTTAAATAATAATAATTTATTATTTTAAAAATCTTAATTTTTTATAAGCAAATTCAAATTATTATTCATTATTATGAATCTTTGAAGAATATACTATTATATGTATATACTACTTATATTACTTTCAAATTTCGCGCTTTTTCTATACCTAACCTACAAGACGCAACGTTGCCAAGCGTTGTGCTAAGTAATTTCTGATTGTCAAAATACGGTGTTTTTTTAGAGAAAATAATTAATTGTGAGTCTCCTAAGCCAGGTCTGATCAATTTTATTAAAAGTAAGTGAACATTGGCTATTAAACTTTATGTATATAAAGTTCCAGTAATATCTTTTCGTCAGATTTTTCACAATTTGAGATTTCAAACCAAAAAATTCAATTTCCCATAAGAACCCGTGTTAAATGTGAAAAGAGAAAATTATTTATATCTTTTGTCAAAATCCACCTAGACCTCTAAAAATTTAACTACATCTTCTTTAAACCATTATCTATCAGTTTATCAAGTTTGATAATTAACTCTTCGTCATTTCTGTTTGCAAGAGAACTTCCTTAAAAATATTAAATATCAAAAGTAGGAGGTTCACAACGTGATTTTGTAACCTTAAATTTTTCAATTTTTTTAAAAACGCTATTATTAAAAAACTATTAAAAATTAGATGTTGGAACTCATCAAAAACATAAATCACTTTATTCTGCACAGAGGAACGAAAGAATTATTGCAAAAATTTATTATTTTTAGATGATATACGATTTTTAAAAAAATTTTATTTAAATATTCTCAAGATTTTTATTTACTTATAACTTTTTTATCGGTGCTCCGAAAAAATTGAGGTTTTGCACAAAGATTATTTATAATATTCTTTACCTTCTATTAAAATCTTACGAAGATGTTTTGCTTCGTTTTGGAGATATTAATTTTCAAAATTTTTTTCTTTAAAAAGGTTAATTAAAAGACTTGAAGTTAACTAACCAAATTCAAATAGCTACATTTTAATATATTTTTATAAAAAATGGAGCAGTTTGAATTTGGTTAGTTAACTTCAAGTCTTTTAATTAACCGTTTTAAATAAAAAATTTTGAAAATTAATATATCCAAAACGAAGCAAAACACCTTCGTAAGATTTTAATAGAAGGTAAAGAATATTATAAAAAATTTTTGTGCAAAACCTCAATTTTTTCGGAGCACCGACAAAAAAGTTATAAGTAAATAAAAATCTTGAGAATATTTAAATAAATTTTTTTTTAAAATCGTATATCATCCAAAAATAATAAATTTTTCCAATAATTCTTTCGTTCCTCTGTGCAGAATAAAGTGATTTATGTTTTTGGTGAGTTCCAACATCAAATTTTTAATAGTTTTTTAATAATAGCGTTTTTAAAAAAATTGAAAAATTTAAGGTTACAAAATCACATTGTGAACCTTCTACTTTTGATATTTAATATTTTTAAAGGGAATAAAATTTTTACCATAATATTATGGTTAATGAACTCAGGGAATCATCGAGTTTCACATATATATTAAAACTAGATTTTTTAAAATTTGGTCGCAACCACTATTAAGACGAAAGTCAGTGGACTGACCCAATAATTTAAAATATTTTAAGATTTCACAAAGAATTTTTATTTAAATAATTTCTCGCGATTGCTTAATTTAAACAATGGGACATTCAACATTGGGACAGGCAAAAATTTAAGTTTATGAAACGTGGATTTTGTTAACACTGATTATAAGATGTGTCAGCTATACGCATGCGCATTTATACTTACACAGCGATTAAGGCCTAAGCAGAATAGATTCTTGAACGGGAACGCAATCGTAAACGGAAACGTAAGAATGTGTAAGAGAAGTATAGCAAATATCTTTATTCTTCTCTCACCCATTCTTACGTTTCCGTTCACGATTGCGTTCCCGTTCAAGAATCTATGATTTTTTTATGCTACAAAACAATAAAAAATTCAAAATTTATAATTGTAGAAAAATAATATTTTTTCTTCCTCGTGGAGGATGTTTTGTAGTCCTTTCGTTTATAAAATTTTTAAAAATGGTGAAAACAAATTTTCCTCTATATAGAAACATGTTATATAAGATCCTGATCAATTGTCCGGATGTATGTATGTATATGTGTGTGTGGATCGTTTTTGTTTAGAAGATATCTTTAACAGGTTTTAATATGGATTTGGATAAAATTTGGTAGGCTTATTTAACACATTAATCTCTCAAAAATGACGAGAGGATTTTTAAAAATACCTTCAAAAAAAAATTTTATCGTCTTTTTTCCAAAAATCAAAAATTCACATTTTAGCTAAAAAATGTTGTGTTTATTTAAATTCATGTTCATATATGAAATAATTTTATTCCCTGCATTGAAACGAATTGGTTGATATATATATATATATAAAGTATAAATTTGATTTAAAATTTGGGAATTAATAAAAATTAAAAAATCGAAAATTCATATTTTAGCTAAAAAATTTTGGGTTTTTTTTTAAATTCAAGTTAATGAATAAAATAATTGTATTCTTTGCATTAAAACAAATCGATTCATATATATATATAAAGTATATGTTATACCCAAAATTAATTAAAATTTAATTAATTTAAAACAGTTTTTAACTCGAAATTTTTTAAATCAATCAATTGAATTGGAGAAATTCATCAAATTTTTTGTTTCACACAATGAGGAAGCAAAATGTTTATGAAATAAACATATAAAGGACCCCTTGTTTAATATGCATTTTTATATTATTATGATTACTTTCAGTAACCATAAAAAACAAAAAATATTTAATAACATACCGAGGATAAAAATAACTGGGACAGTAGGAACTTCAAATTTAACTGGTCCAACGTTCTGCATGGGAAAACTTCCATGTGGCGGTGTCGCCAAAAGTCCTGCTTCTCCTTGCCATCTTCCTGTACTTCGAGCATCGGCCTCGTCGAACACCTTTGATCCATTATTTCGATCTGTAACACAAATTATCAATAAAAATTCAAATCTTAAGTTTCAATTGAACAATTATATTAATATATTTCTGTTTCATATATGTATTAGAAAAAGTCTAAAAATTCATTCACTTTTATATAAATAATTGATACATTACTATTTTTTATTCAATTTAAAATGAAAATTAGTTTATTCTTATTCGAAAAATAAAATTGTTTTTTATTTAATTTAATTCTAAAAATAATGCTATAATATAAACGATAAATAAAAATTTAAAAATGCTGATTTTTAAAAGTAAAGTATGCGCTACATTGAAAACGAAGATTCTTAGGCAGATAAAACTGTGACACTATAATTTTAGTACGTCGAACTATACAAATTATGGAAAATAATTATGTGTTCGGCAATTGCCCATGTCCCACTATTCCCCATCTTTCCCCTACTTATTTTAATATTTACAGATAATGCATTAAAATCAATGAACATATGAATTAATTTACCTATATAGGGGAAAAAAATATAATTATGTATTATCAATGTCATTTATATATATATTATTATTATTTTATTACTGAACTTTACAAAATTCTCAATTAAAAAATTAATGAAAAAATATCAATTTTAACAGATGGTAAGAGATTTTAATTTTTTATGTAAAGATCTTTTCTTTATTAAAACAATTTTTAAGTTATAGAATTTATTAATTTCAAATAATAAATTAAATTCTTGTAATTAAATAAAAAAATAGAAAAATTCATTTTATATATTATATAAATTTTTTGTTTTAAATAATTATATTTTTATTATAAGCTTTATTTTTTTTTTATAAACAAATTAATTTTTTTTTATTTGGATACGATTTTTTTAAAACTTTTTCTTTTAAAATGTACTTGAAAACGCTAAGAAGATTTTACAAAAAGTTTATTTGAGTGTGCCTGATGAATTCGCAAGTTCACTCAAAAACTTGTTGCAAAATCTTCTTAGTGTTTACGCAAGTAAATTTTAAAAGAAAATTTTTTTTTAAAAAATGCTTTAAAATTCATTGTTTAAAAACATTAAAGATAAAAAATCTCATTGAAAAAAAAGTAAAAATTAAAATCTGTTAAATTTTGTCATTTGTCGCATGTATTTTAAACATGCAAATGTGACGTCACCGGTGTTTCAATAACATTCTTCTGTGTCATAAAATAGAATTCTCAAATCTAGTAAAAATCCGCGATTTATAATTAACGAGAATCGCAACTAAAATTAGATATAGTCTAAAAATAAAACAAGAATAGTTCTTGTCAGTATAGGGCCGTCGCATCATTTTCTTTAATTCATTTAGAAAGTACAGAAATCAATATAATTTAATAAAAATCGATCTTTAATAAACGTGTTATTTTATTTTTTTGTATTATTTTAATTTTTTTGAAATAATTTTATTATATGAATATTTTATTTAATTAATAAAATTTTCGCAATTAAAAAACTTAAAAACAATTTTGAAAAATGTACAATTTTCTGTATTATAACAATTTAAAATTAATAAAATAGCCAATTTTAAATAAAAAAAAAACCAAACTATATTTGAAAATATTTAAGAATCTCATTAATTATATTGAAAATATTAAAAATTTAACAATATATATATATATATATATTTCACGTAATAAAAGATGAATAATAACTATTCCTTTCGATATGACTCACGATCATTTCTGCGAATAATATATTGTAAATTACTCTCTATTAAATGTGTCATAAACTAAACGTATACACATATTATAATGTACGAGCACTTCCGTTAACTTTGATGAACCGTACATGATTATCTTTTGTTAGTTTGTTAATCAATAAATGAGCATAAAAGATAAATACATTTTTTTGCATTATAATTCATCTACAATATTTAAATAATTGTTTAAAATAATAATATTTTGAATTCATGTTTTTTTTTTTTAATTTTTCAATATTTTAATATGGAAATATTCCACGCACTATATTTATGCAAATTAAAATAAAATAAAATTGTTAAAGATTGTAATAACTTATAAATTTTAAATCTTTAATTTGAAATTCACACAGGAAATTTAACGAAATATTGCTCGATTTTTCCGGAAATGGTTAGATTCTTATCGTTTTGTATAAATGAGAAAAAGAGAGAAAATACAGTCTCGCTCATTTTCTTTCTCTTCCCTTGAACATACTTATATATATATAAAAAAAAGGTTCTTGCGTGTAGACACGTGTGAAATAAAATAAAAAGAATTTTATCGCTTTAGGGTTGATTCGTTTGGTGAAGGTGTTTTTTTCAATATATATTAAATCTATTTTTCCGGTCATTTAGAAGATTAGAAAACAAAATTTATTTAATTTTCAATTTTCAAATGAGCATAATATAAAATTTTAATAAAATCAGATTTCTAGTTTTTGTAAAATTGTTAAATAATTTTTATATTTTTAACATATAATTTAATGTTGTTTTAAACATTCTATATTTTTTTTCGCTAATCACGCAATAACTGCATAACTGATTTGTCGAAGTTAAACTTTTATCAATCCGTGAAATATTAGTGAATAATAAAACGTGACTATAAAAACCCTAAAGCATATATAGTGATCGATTTAATCGATTATTGCTATATAATTCCAAATTTAAAAATGATTAAATTTCAAAAATATTGATTATCCAATCAATGTACACGTGTTTATAAATTTATAAATTCGCATATATAACTCAACCCCTTTTTTATGTTTTAAATTAAAAAAAAAATTAATTTTTAAATTCTCTGCCAAAAAAAAACCCATTTTTTATTTCTTTAGAATTCCTTTTGCTTCAAAAATGCTAAAATGTTCTCAACATAGGATATGCAAAATAAAAATAAAAAGAGGGTTCCTAATTTTTTCTTTGTCTATTGGCACAAGAAATTAAAAATTAATTTTATTTATATGAACATGTTTTTTTTTATTAATTAATCAAAATAATATCTATCATATTTAATTTTTTTAACACAAAAAAACCAATTTTTTTAAAAATGGCTCGACAAATTTTATTAAATATTAGGTATTTAGCCCTGTAACTAACAACCTCAAACTAAAAAATTATTTTTCACAAAAATAAAAAATTTATTTAAAATTGATTGCACGAAATTTTTAATTATAGAATTTTCAAAAAAATATTTGTAATTAAAATTCATTGCTATTAAAAACGATAATAACTATAAAAATATTAATATTGAATTAAATATCACTAGTAAATTAATTAATATATACGATATTTAAAAAACTGATACAGTTGACACAAAATTTTATATGTTTATATTTTCCTCAATATTATTTTACTTTCTAGAAAACTAACCTGAAAAAAATTTGGTTTATTGATTAGAAATTTTATAAATATGAAGAAATTGTTAAATAATTATATTTTAAAAGCAACTTTTTTTTGTACATTAAATCTGAATAATAAAATTTGTGATAATATTAATAAAAATGTAGTTTAAAAATTTTTTCACTGTTTTCATACCATATATTTTTAAATTAATATTATAGTGTTTTTTAATTTTAAACTTATGTACTATAAATTTTAACTCAAATCTTTTATTTGAAATTTATTTTATAATTCCCAGGGTGTCGGTCACTGTACCCGTTATATCTTCCTTTCATTTTGTGAATTTCTAAAATTTTCTTTTTTCAAATTGTCATGTCTTTGGAAAAACGAATAAAAAGTAACTTTTACTATCTACTTTAAAAGTAAAACCGCAGTTTCTGACAATTTCTACTCCAGAAAGAAATAGTAAAATTTACTATTTCCGGAATAATTTGTACTATTTCAGGAGTAAATTTTACTATTTCTATTAGAGTTATTTTATTCGTTTTTCCGATTTTTCTCCGTGTATGATTTCTTAAAATTTAATTATCATTTAAGGAGGTTCATCCCAAAATCGATTTTCTACAGATTTTTTAAAAATTTTTAAGATGTATTATTGACATCACTTTACATGTGTTGTTCAAATTTTATTGAATTTTACCGTATCATTTTCAAGATAAAAATTGATAAAGTTTGAAGTTTTACATGGGAACAATGAAAAAACATGAAAAATGACCATGTTTTCATTAATTAAAAAAAAAACGGTTCTACAGATTTTTTTAAAAACTAATATGTTTTAAATTATGAGTTTTAACAGTTTTTACAAAAATATGAAATTTTTTTACCGTTTGGTTGTGAAGTAAATGTTAATCAAAGTTAGCAACTTTTGAACTTATCCCATGTAAATAAAAGAAAGAAGAGGAGAAACGGCAACATAACCTCTAAATTGGCCAGTGGAGCTCAACTTTTATGGACTATAGCTGTCGGTTTTAAACTTACGAAAAACCTCTAATAGAATGAGTACCGCTTGAAGGGATGAACCTCCTTAATTTTTCAAAATTCTTAAACTGTTAAATGCAAACTAATTTCCCACATAGCACGACTTCTTGCTGTGAGGTTTCTGTAAGGATATCTGTAGGGTTTGTAAGGTTACCGTGTAAGCCTGCAGTAAACTTGAGGTCATCTTAAAACTTCCGCCTTACAGTAAGCTTACACAGTAAAGCTAAGGTAAGCTTACATAGTAAGGTCATGGTAAGTTTACATGGTAAGGTTGTGGTAAGCTTACACGGTAAGGTAGTTGTAAGCTTCCTTTAAGGTTACTGTAAGGTTGATGTAAGGTTACTGTAAACATAGAATGTTGTTAATAATAATAAAATTTATTAATATTTATGCGCAGTAGTTTTCTATGGCACATACGGCTGCGCAGTAACTTTTATTTGACAAACCCTATTGGGGTTCATAAAGTACTTTACCAAATATATAATTTTTTATACAAAAAAATTTATAATATAATATATATTATAATATAATTATTTTTAATATATTTTCATATTACTTTATATTAACAGTAACCTTACATCAACCTTACAGTAACCTTAAAGGAAGCTTACAACTACCTTACCGTGTAAGCTTACCACAACCTTACCATGTAAACTTACCATGACCTTACTG